TCTCGGTCTTCTGATGGTTTTTACTTGTCACAAAGGAAGTATGCGTTGGACATTGTAACTGAATGTGGGTTGTTGGGATGTCAACCAGTGTCTACTCCACTTGAGCAAAATCATAAGTTGCCAGATGATGAAGGAGAGTTTTATGAGGATGTCGAGAAGTATAGAAGGCTTGTTGGGCGTTTGGTATATCTTACTTTTACTCGACCAGAATTGTCATATGTTGTGCATATGTTGGCTCAATTTATGCACCAACCTCGTGCCAAACATTGGGCTGCAGTCATACGGGTTGTGAGATATCTTAAAGGTTCTCCGGGTCAAGGTATTGTGTTGAGTGCTGATTCTGATTTACAACTGACAGCTTATTGTGATTCAGATTTTTCTACATGTTCCCTCTCTCGGAGATCGGTTACGGGCTTTATTGTTATGCTGGGTGATTCTCCGATTGCTTGGAAGACAAAGAAACAAGATGTGGTGTCATTTTCTTCCGCAGAGGCTGAATATCGTGCGATGAGTTTTACTGCTCGTGAGTTGAAATGGGATCGTGAGCTTTTGGGATGTTTTGGAGTGACTCATCCGCATGCGATGCGTTTGTTTTGTGACAATAAGGCAGCCTTACATATTGCTGCTAATCCAGTTTTTCATGAGCGGACAAAGCATATTGAGAGGGATTGTCACTTCATTCGGGATGAAATTCAGAATGGCTCACTGGTTACTGCACATCTTAACACTACAGAGCAACCAGCGGATATCTTTACTAAGGCTTTGGGTTCTCAACAATTTGTTTATCTACGGCGCAAGTTGGGCATGTATAATCTTCATGCTCCAACTTGAGGGGGAGTATTAGGGACCTATAATGTAAATATATTATACTTAGGCTATTATGTTAATTTCCCTAAGTATGTTTAGGGTTTCATGTGTAAGATGTATATATACTCTCTTCTTAATGTCAATAGAAACAACTTTCTCTTCATTCTCTTATACCTTTGGCAGATTACAGGCCCATATCTTGTTGTAATGTGATCTATAAGGCCATCTCAAAGTTTCTGGCCAATCGCCTAAAGTGTATTCTACCGTTGTTTATTGCTCCTAACCAATGTGCGTTTATTAAAGATAGACTTTTGATGGAGAATTTGCTCTTAGCCACAGAATTGGTGAGGGATTATCATAAGGATGGAGTATCACCACGTTGTACGATGAAGATAGACATTTCAAAAGCTTTTGATTCAGTACAATGGGATTTTCTGTTGAATGTGCTTGCAGCGTTAGACCTCCCAGAGGAATTTATTCACTGGATCAAGCTCTGTATTTCTACTCCGTCTTTCTCGGTCCAAATTAATGGGGAGTTGGCTGGTTACTTTCAAAGTAAAAGAGGATTAAGACAGGGTTGCTCTCTCTCTCTCTCTCTCCCTATCTATTCGTAGTATGTATGAATGTCCTCTCTTTACTGCTGGATAAGGCTGTAGTGGCGAAGAAGTTTGGTTTTCATCCGAGATGCAAAAATATGAAACTCACCCACTTATGTTTCGCAGATGACATAATGGTTTTTACTGATGGAAAGGTTTCTTCAATGGAGGGAATTCTCGGTGTTTTCAAGGAGTTCCTAGCTCTATCCGATTTAAGTATAAGTCTCGAGAAATCCACTCTGTTTTTGGCTGGCATTTCAGGTCGGAATAGAGAAGAAATTCTAGCTCGCTTCCCTTTTGATTCAGGAGTTTTGCTTGTCCGCTATTTGGGGCTGCCTTTGCTTACAAAGAGGATGACACTGACGAATTGTCTACCTTTGATTGAAAAAATAAAAGCTCGCATCAGCTCTTGGAAACATAGGTTTCTATCCTTTGCAGGCAGGCTGCAGTTGTTGCGCTCAGTGATTGCAAGCATCACCAACTTCTGGATTGCTGCTTTCCGTTTGCCTTATGCGTGTGTCAAAGAACTAGAGAAAATATGTGCAGCTTTCTTGTGGTCAGGTCCTGATCTCAACTCAAGAAAGAACAAGTTGGCTTGGCGTGATGTTTGTAAGCCAAAGGAAGAAGGAGGGCTAGGACTAAAATCGGTTGTTGAGATGAACAAGGTCAGCTGTTTTAAACTCATTTGGCGAATTGTTTCTGGTGCTAAGTCCCTTTTGGTTAACTGGATAAAACGTGAATTAATCCGGTCTAGCTCATTTTGGTCCGTAAAAGACAATACTACTTTGGGTTCATGGATGTGGAGGAAGTTGTTAAAGTACAGAACACAAGCAAAAGAGTTTCACTCAATGGAGGTGAGAAGTGGATCACAAGCTTCATTCTGGTATGATCAATGGTGTCCTCTGGGCAGGTTATTTGACACTCTTGGTGTGAGGGGTTTCATTGAACTTGGGATTACTTCAACAGCTACTGTTGCAACCGTTCTAGCTACTCATAGAAGTCGGCACCATCGTGTTGATTTTTTAAATCGTATTGAATTGGAGCTGGGGAAATTAAGAAACAGAGGACAATGTTTAGAGCCGGACGTTGCATTGTGGAGACGGCCTAATCGTAAATTTAAATCTCGGTTTAGCACCTCTGAAACTTGGCAACAATTACGTGCAGCAGGTTCCAAAATAAGTTGGACCAAAAGTGTTTGGTTCTCAGATTATGTCCCAAAGTATGCTTTTATGCTATGGCTTGCAGCAAAAGATCGACTTTCCACAGGGGAACGTATGGCTTTGTGGAACAGGGGAGGCGATCTCTCGTGTGTTTTTTGTCAGGCTCCGTTGGAGACAAGGGAACACTTGTTTTTCACTTGTTCCTTTTCTTCACAGATTTGGGATACGCTAGCTAGTCCTCTTCTCCAAACACGTCATACCAGCAGTTTTACGGAGCTTCTTAGTCTCTTGTCACAGTCTTCTTTCAAAGGCACTCTCGGTTTCATTCTCAGGCTGCTATTCCAAGCAACTGTCCACTCGATCTGGTTGGAAAGGAATAAGCGCAGACATGGCGATCCCCCACGACCTGCAGATCAAGTAATCACATTTCTGGATCGTTTGATACGTAACAAAGTCTCTTCCATCCGCCTTCATGATCCCCGCAAATATGAAGATGGGTTAAGGATATGGTTCAATTCAAGAAGCTAATGTTCAAGGCTTTCTAAAATTTTTTGATTTCCTTTCAAACAAACATTCAATTTAGGGATGCATTTATTGTAACAAAGGTTTTTTGGCTGAATAAATTTAATATTCATTCAAAAAAAAAAAAAAAAAAAAAATCTTCTTATTCGTCACGAATAGTCCGCACGGTAAGTTAAAACCACTTCATTAATTATAATGTACATAGTAGTTTTATGGGTAAGAGTGTTCTATTAGTGATTATACTCAGGGGCGGACGTACGTGTATTAGTAGTACCTAGGCACGTACCTTATACACAATTTGAAGTTTGTTATTAGTGTATGGTGCCACATATATATCCTCTACTAATTTTTTAGTCAATTGGCTATTATTTTCTCTTTTTACTGATTTAAGATAATAAACGTTTTCCATATATATTAATCTATATTTTCTCTCTTACCTTTTTTTAATTATTTAAAGTAATTATGTTTATATAGAGTACTATAGTCAATAGTTGATTAACACACATCAAATGAATTGCTTCATTTACATGTCGTTTAATAAAAAAATAAAAAAAATTATATATATTAAAAATTTATATGTTAAATATATTGTGCCCCATACTAAATATGTTTATAGATCCACTACGGATTATACTGCAAATTTTCATATTATATGTTTTTTCGGCCATTGGGCTATATTAGTATATTACCCCTAATTCTTTTACATAACGTGGAATCCTCGAAATTTGGGGACCATTGGGCTCTACATTGCCCTCGCAGGGCCAGCCCTCGACCAGAGTTATTACACTGTTCATAGTACACAAAATCGCCATCAGAAACTACTTCATGTATTATGTCTACACGCAGACACATACATTACTCACAATATAGTATATGCCTACATAACTTTGGTATCTTTACCACCAAATGAGACATTGATTAGTAGTATATATATGTGGTCGAACATCAAACCCTTAAATTCATTCAGTGTTCGTTTAGGTTGCCATACTATTTTGTAGCACAACATGCATACTCACAAAGTCACATGATATATTCACTGCGTCTAATTTTAAATACAAACAGAAAAACCACAATCATATAATCACTTTGATTTTAGGGATTATTGTCTATTTTGTCATTCTTTTGGAAAATCTTTTGAAAATGTCATTTTTACTAAAATCTTACGAATTTACCATTTTTTTACGTTTACAAGTTTCAAATGTAGCATATTTACATTTTTTTCAAAAATATGTATTTTATACCAAATACTAAACTCTAAGAACAAATAAAACCGATTAAACCTAAACATAACGAGTAAAACACATGTTAAATCACATTTTTGTAGCCTGGAATATGGAAAATTTTACAAACTATTCAAAAAATGACAAAATCCGTAAATACCACTAAAAATGGCAAAATCCGTAGTTAATTCTTGAGTTTATGACTTTGTTTTGCATTTTTTAGATTTAGAAATCCAAAAACTGGGAAAATATCGTAGACTTTAGATTAAAGAAAACACTCTAGGGTCTCGAAGAAATCTCATAGGCTACAAATCGGTAAATGTTTGGATCAAATCAGCAAGCATTTTGTCAATGCTAGCGTTATAAACGGTTTTATCTTTACCATCTCGGATTCTCAACAAATGGACCTATAAAAATGAGCAAATTTGGTCGATTAATAGAACGTCAGTCTTATTTTAAGGACTTTTCAACACTGAAATATAGTACTTAATTTGGTAAAATTTCTCCTTTTCGACTTATGCCACAGTCCATTTATTTAATTAATCCACCTAATATCTATTTTGTTAGTTATGAAGCTATATATGGATTTTGGCTTATATAATCCAAACTCGTAATCATATATATGATGACTCCATAAAGTGTACATCATCTGTTTTCAAGTATAACTTGAACCTCAGCCGTATTAAATTAAATGACACCTCAAGAACTAGTTGAACTAACATCATTTACATGATATTTGTACATTTTAATACAAAAATTTATTTATATAACAACATTTCACCGACGCAAAACGTGAGTACTTTATAGAAAACAACATATGGAACCTTGCGTACTTCAAAAACCATCTATAAGACCAAAAGATAGGGGGGCCAAGATTGGCTTTGTACAAAAATGCAAGCGAATCTTAGAAAAGAAAGAAAATTACATTGTGCCAGGTAATACAAAGCACGCACAAATACAAATAAAAAATTAATAATAATGTGAAACAGATGGTTTTAATAAACAAAAAGAAGAAGAAGAAGAATAGGATGATAAAGTAGTGAAGCTATATTACTTTACCATAAAGAAGTAAGAGGCTTGCTTACATTGTGGCATATAGGATAGGCTTCAAACAAATGATTCACACTACTAGTGGGTGGTGGAAATTCTGCTTCAAGATCATCTGAAATCTCGAATTCGAAATCCACAAATTGAATGAATCAATATAGGAATATTTGGTCCAAGATCACCAAAAAATGGATCTCAGAAATTCCAAAGGTTAATGTTGTAATGAGAGAAATCATCTTCACAAGCTCCATCATAGTAAAAATCAGACGAGAGCTGATGTTGTGTCGGGAAGTACAAATTGGTTGAATCATCCGTGAAAAAACCAAACTCATGATCTGAGTTAGGAGGACCTACAAGATTCTCCTCCTCCCATATAAAAGGCCAATACGACGTCGTGTCGCTATTACTATTACCCTCGTTGTTATTATCTTCCCCAACTTGCCCTAACGTAGGCCCACCACTACCACTATTAATTCCCCCACGTGCCGGAATTATCCCTTCTTCCTCCGTCTTATGATCGCCACGTGGCGAAGACGGATGATGTTGTTCCGGTGGCAAGTGCTCCTCCTCGCAGGCGAAACGGCTAGCTACGACCTGAATCTGCTGCGGCGTCAGAGAACGACCGCCGGGTATTTCCGGAGGATTCTCGGGGAAGTTGAAACGCGCTCCGGGGCCACGAAGACAGTAAAGAGCCGCGTCGAAAGCACGCGCAGCCTTCTCGGCTGAGTCGAAAGAGCCTAACCAGATCCTTTCACGGCTGTTAGGGAGACGAATCTCAGCCACCCATTTTCCCCACTTCCTCTTCCGTACACCTGTGTACTTGGGCGATGCGTCCATATGTCTAAATGCAGAGAGAGAGAGAGAGAGATGGATATATATATAGATGATAGATTAGGGCTTTGATGTATATTCACTTATTCAGGTATATTTTGGAGCTGACAGTATAGTGAAAATGGCGGCTCGTGAGTGTATATATACATGTATGTGTGATAAGTACAGTTATAAGAAGAAGAAGGTCGCAGCTTGTATGCGCGTTGTTGAAGAAGATGATGATTACGTGGTAACGCGGAAGTAAGTCAGGTTTATTATTCCACACGTGCTGTTATTTCCTCCATTTATGTTTCACAAGCATTTTTTTACCTTTTTTGTTTTTTTCTTCACTACACAACAAAATTTGGGCCTTTTAGAACTTCTCCATCCATCACAAACGTATCTTACAAATAAAATAGTAGTATTTTTTTATTATTTAATTATTTAATTATTTAATTATTTAATTATTTATTTATTTATCTGAACTAATCAGAAAAAACAATTGTAAATTTGGGTGTCTAGGAGTTTCTCAAATGAGAAATGTTTCTATCTTCTGTCCTCATTTTTCTAATTTTTAATTATATTTTATTGTACAGTTTCTCACCTAAACACCTCCAATGGAGATGGTCAACATCACATCATCTTTTTCACCGAAAATAAAATTATCATATTTTCACCGGAAAATAGGGAATGTTAAACTATATTTTGATTTTAATTTTTGTTGTTTGTTTTTTAGTTTCAAAAGAGAAATCTAATATAAATTTGGTTTTGCAGAGAGACTGTGAACGATGCACAAAAAAAAAGTTTTCTAATTTTAAGAAGAGGTAAAGATTCAAATGAATAAGTTCAAAATAAAAGAGGCAAACCCTTTAACCAAAAAAACAAGAAAAAAAACAAAAGAGCTTTCACATTTAAACTAATTTTCAAAAAAAAAATGTTAAAGAAAGCACAAATCTTTTCGAAAATTTTGATCGAGTAATTAAATGATATTTTTAAATAAACATAAAAAAAAAACCGTTCTAAAATAATGTATTCATCAAGCCTTTTTAGTTTTTGCTAGCAACTATTTTGCATATACCAAGAGCGTGATGAGTTTAAATAGTTCATTTATTTCGGGTCAACGTCTATGGAAACCAACTGCCTAGCCATATTTCTACGTGAATCATTTTGGTTGTTTATGACAAGAAGGTCGAAGAAGGCTAGCAAAGCTGTTCATTTGGGAAGTAGAGAGTTGAATCAAATGCTACAATTATTTACGGGCATGATGACCAAACCGTCATAGGACATCTGGTCATGTGCAGAAGTTTGATTCGGTGAAAGGTAAAATCAAAACTGATTGGTCTCAGCATGAATACAGCCGCTTCTCGAACGACGCCTTTGAAAGGTAAAATCAAAACTGATTGGTCTCAGCATGGTCTCAGCATGAATACATGTATTTTTTTTTTTTTTAATCATGAATACATGTATTAATTTACCAATTATCAATTTATTTTAAAATGAAAACTTATATAAGAGCATTGACACGATTTTAGATGCTTATTATATAACTTATGTGTAAACAAGATTTGACTAAGATGAATAATTCAAAATAATCTGAAAGAGAGACATAAACAACTGCTGTTTAGTTAATTGGTCTTGAAATCGGTAACCCTGTTTTTTAAATATCATTTCCTGCGTACGCAAAGCAAAAAGGGAAAGGTATGATGAAAATATTAAGTCGATAGGTTGGTCCCGTACATTTCTAGTCCTTTTCCCATAATAAAACTACTTAAAAAAAATTATTATTTGATTGAAAAAAAAATATATATATATATATATATATATATATATATATTTTTTTCAACTTTAAATTAGTTATATTTAATAGATAAATAGATAGATAGACATGTGTTTGGTCAACATCCTATCATAGTATTGTGTCACGTTTCATGAAAGCTACACTTGTGAAGGAATTTGGATCTTTCCCTTCTTTCTTTTTTTATTGTGTCCTTCCTATTGCCGCGCTGAATCTTACATTTATATGAATTTGTTATATGTAAAGTTAATTGCTTTAAGAATGATCTGCTTTCTTAGTACTTTCATCGTTGAATTTTCGACAAAAAGCTATTAAGTTGAAAATATTGGATACTATAATTCGAGTCAGCTTTACCCATAAGAATGTTTTTAATAAATATAGACCCTAACGTAAGAGTTTATGTGGTTCAGAAAATGAGTAGTCATCTTTTCATACTGTTAGTGCGGATGTCTAAATATATACACACAAAACAGCATTTAAGTATTCTCTTTACAAAAACAAAGTTTAGGTAAAGATACTAGTTATAAACGGAAAAAAGTATTTTTATACTCGTCTAATCTGTAAATTAGTAGGCCTGGACGTTCGGGTACCCGTTCAGTTTTGGTTCGATTCCGGTTCTTTTGGTTCTAGAGTTTATGATTCATATAGGAACCAATCAATTTCGGTTCGGTTCTGAAGTTTAGGATCCATTTAGATATTTTCTTTCGGATATTTTTATGTATTTTGGATATTTTTTGGTATTTTCGAATATTTTTGAGTATTTTTTGGATATTGTAAGTATTTTTGATATATTTTCTAAATATTTGTTGGTATTTCGGGTATTTTTGTTTATTCGATCTAAAAATAACTAATATTTTTAGATATAAACTCATATTTCGGATATTTTTAGGTATCCGAAATATTTTGGTTCGGTTCGGTTCGCTTCCGGTTCCGGTTCTTTCAGTTCTAAAATTTTGGATCCATTAGAGTATTTTAAAATTTTGGTTCGGTTCCGGTTCGATTTTTTTTTCTTCGGTTCCGGGTCGGTTCTTGTGGTTCGGTTATTTTGCCCAGCCCTACTGTAAAGTGTGTTTTTCGACTGAAACAAATACGTAGAATTAATTCATACCTAAATTCCAAAAAAAATTAAATTTTATACCCAAATTTTACATTTAGTGCCTAATTCAAAATCGTAATTAACGAATGTTAGCAACCGTCAAATAACACGCATTTGAAGCTATGGCTTAAAACGATGTAGTTTTAAGCGATAAAGTTAAAGTTTTATAAAAATTTTGCAAAAATTGGGTCTCCAACCCACGATATTTACGCAGCCCATTACCATTTGATCGACAACTATCGTCAAACGTCGTGTGTTCGAGACTCGATTTTTGCAAAAAATTATAAAACTTTAACTCTAATGCTTAAAACGACATCGTTTAAAACCATAACATCAAATACGTGTCATTTGACTCAGCAACCGTAACAGTTGACTAACATTCATTAATTACAATTTTGAATTAGGCACTAAATGTAAAGTTCATGTATGTAATTCAAAAACATTTCAAATTTGGGTATGAATTTACCCGACATGTTTGTTCAGGTCTAAAAACACACTTTGCGAATTGTACAAGTATGAAAATTAGTAAAAATCTCTTTATAAATTAATAATTTTTAATTTATCGATAAACTAATATCTCTGTAAATTAATAAAAAATTTCGGTTCTAATATTATTACTTTATAGAAGTTTTAATGTATATTAAATTTTATTTTTGGTCAGTTAAAAAGAGAACTTAATGGGCTTTATTGGGCCCAACACGACAATAAGAAGTGTAGAAGACAATGAGCACCTTACTATGCCTGTGTTCCCGCGCCGTCGAACCTCCGCCGCATGGCTTACCGGTCATCTTTCACCTTGCCGTCTAACCATCAAACTCTATTATTCCGCCGCCATACAGTTTAAGGTATTAGTGTCTCTGTTTGTAAATTTGGCAGCAACAACTAGTTACTCGGTTGATACAAGTAATCGTAATCATCGATCCATTTATCCTGTTTCCAAATGACTGGACACTGTTATGTAAATTGTGGAGATAATCGTAGTCTTAGTGGTTGTATTCAGGTGCTTAAAGCTGAGCTTTTGATGGGAGGGTTACGATGTTGGCTGCAATTCTACGGCAATGCCCACAACTTGTTTGCGATAATGCCTGAAAGAAACGCTTTATACGGAGAATCCTCTTTGAGGCGGGTATGGGTCAGGTTCATGACCAGTAGCAAGCGTGTTCAAGATAGGAGCAGGGAAAAGAGAGTCCAAGAGCTCGAAATAGCGACAGAAAAATGGAAGATAGCTTCTAAAGTAATTTTCTTGATGGAGGTTTTGAAGGGTGAGCGAGATATGATAATAACTGTCAGGTCGTTGGAACAGTATAGGAGGCAGATCAATTTGCCTAAACCGCATAAGATCAGTGATTTCATCAGAAAGTCTCCCAAGTTGTTTGAATTGTATAAAGATCAGAGGGGAGTCTTGTGGTGTGGATTGACAGAGCAAGGGGAAGACTTGTTGGAAGAGCATGAAAAGTTACTTGAGGAGAATGGAGACAAGGCTGCAGAACATGTGACTAGGTGTTTGATGATGTCTGTTGATAAGAAGCTTCCATTGGATAAGATTGTTCATTTCCGGAGGGATTTCGGGTTGTCTCTTGATTTTAGGATAAACTGGGTGCACAAGTTTCCTCAGCATTTTAAAGTTGGGAAGCTTGGAGATGGAGAAGAGTATCTTGAGCTTGTTTCATGGAATCCAGCTTGGGCTATCACAGAGTTGGAGAAAAAGACTTTAGGTATAATCGAGGATTGCGAACACAAGCCGGGTATGCTTTCACTAGCTTTCCCCATGAAGTTTCCTCCGTCATACAAGAAAATGTACAGATACAGAGGGAAGATTGAACATTTTCAGAAACGATCTTATCTGTCTCCTTATGCCGATGCACATGGACTCGAAGCTGGTTCAAAGGAATTCGACAAGCGGGCAATCGCTGTTATGCACGAGCTGCTGAGCTTTACACTCGAGAAGAGATTGGTGACGGATCATCTGACCCATTTCAGGAGGGAGTTTGTGATGCCGCAAAAGCTGATGAGGATTTTCTTGAAGCATTGTGGTATCTTCTATGTCTCTGAGAGAGGGAAGAGATTCAGCGTGTTCTTGACAGAAGGTTATGAAGGGCCAGAGCTGATTGAGAAATGTCCTTTGATACTTTGGAAAGAGAAGTTACTGAAGTTTACCGGTTACAGAGGAAGGAAGAGAGATATTCCAACTTATAATGATACTTTGGACATGGAAGAGAGAGAATTGCTGGAGAGTGGTTCAGGAGATGAAGATATGAGTGTTGGATTTGAGAAAGATGATGATGATGATGATGTGGTAACAGATGATGATGATGAGATGGACATTGGTGAAGTAAATGATGCATATGAAGAGATTAGCAAAGTTTAGACAAAAGTTCAAGGGGCCTAATAAAGCTGTATCATGTTGTGAAAACTCTTTATGAGAGAATTGAAATAACCAGCAACAGAAAATGAAGTTAATCAAAACGTTTAAAATTTAGTAATAATAAGTTATTAACAAAAAACAGACTCAATCAGAGAAAATTGAAGTTTATTGCATTCATGTGACTTTGCCAAATCGAACATTTTTTTCTCCGCAGGCTTCTTGTTATTTCAAAGATTGAAAACGTCTCCGAACAAAAAGAGAATTTTATAAAGAAAACAAATAAAAATAAGGTAAAAATAAGAAAAGAACCAAAGAGTTGATTCATCATGTCTGAAAAAAAAAAACAGTAATCAATCTTTGTGGTTCAAGCAAACCAGTCGTCTCCATCCATACCTTCAATTTCTCCAATCTCCATACTGTAAAAATATATACAAAACACCAAAAAAAATGTTACATTAGAACACTAAAAGAGAAATATAATTTACCGAGCAACCAAAACTTGAATAATAACAATAATAATACAAGCAATGATAACATAACAAAAAAGGTTTTATATATTTTATATCGTATGACGTCAAGACGGTTTAGGGACAGTTCAGAAAAATGGGGTAAGGATAGTGTTTTATTGATGTCGGCGATCATAAAACTATCATTGGACCATAAACTAAAAGAAAAATGGACAACTTCAGATCATGCAATAAACCGATGTGGATCCTTCTCATACCACAAATTTCACATATTTTAAATCCAAATAACTCCGATTTAATTATCAAAACCAAACAAAAAAATGCATGATTCTGCTTTTTCTGTGTTCTGCCTCAAACTCCATCACTGAAGTTTATGCAAGAACAGCCGCAATTTTCACCGCCGGTGATTCCGGAGGAAAAACACCGATTGATAAAAATATCGAATAAATTTTAGAATAGAATTAAAAGATATTAATTACCAGGATAATGGAGGATTATGAGGAGAAGAGTAATTATCAGTGAGATTATAAGGATGAAATAATTCTTCTTCTGTTTGATTTAACCACGAAGGGAATTCCATGACGTCACTTAGCTTTGGAAACACGTCATCTTCGACTGCGGCGACTTCTTCCGTCTCCGGTTTAATCTCCGGCTCCACCGTCTTCATCATGAGCTCTGACCACCAAGCTGACGTTATCACGTTGTTCTCTCCATTGGAGGAAGACGGTGGTTGAGGAGCTGAATCTGAATTGGCGGTGGTGAAGGTGGGAGGAGGTGAAGGGGAAGAGTAGATATGAGGATTCGTCGGAAAAATCGACGATGAGGAAGATGAAGTGGAGGACGATGATGATGAAGATGTTGTTGATGAGGTTTGGATGAAGTCGTTGAAATCTTGAAAATTTAGGTTTAACCCTAAGGGTTGATTAGGGAGGAGGAAGTTGAGAGATGGATTCGTCCAAGAAAATGGATCCGGAGGATTTAGAGGCTGAGGTGGTGGCGGTGGCGGTGGTTGAGGCGGTGGAATCCTCGTGGCTTGTCTCATGGAAGCACGATGTTGTTTTAAAGCGGTGACGATTTCTCGACGAGCTTCAGCCATGTTGAGAAGACGTTCTTGATAAGGACGGCTTGTGTGAAGTCGCCTCCTCACTTGTTTCTTGTGCGTCTGCGTTTGCGTTTGCGTTTTGCCGCCGCCGCTTCCATCAGTGGTTGTGGTGGTCATAGTGGTGGAAGAAGTAAGTTGTTGCTTCACGAGAGATCGGATATAAGTAGCAGAGACACGTGGTTCTTGCTTGTTTGGTCTGACCATTAAAGATTTAACTATGATTTTTCACTGAAAAGACACTAATCTGTGTTTCTTCTTCTCTTGGATCATTTTTTCTCAAGGCTTTGTTCGAGTAAATTGTGAATTGATGATATAATGATGATGAGATTTACAAATGTCTCCGGAAAGAGAACAGAAAGAGAAGGAGATGTGATGAAGGAGGAAGAAGAAGCAAAGCTCGTGGGTGATATAAATACTCTGCTCTAGCCCAATATTTACAGATTTTTATTTTTGTTACATTCGGAAAATATAATAGTATGAGAAATGAGAAATTAGTTCCTCTTTCTTTTTTCTGGATGAGAAATATAATAGTATGATACTATGATGACATAATACTTAAGAGTTAACAGTGTCTCTGTGAGTACAATTCCCTTATTTTTGGCAAAAAATAGAAATGTTTTTTCTTTCTTTCATTAAACTTTGCCGTAAATGGGTCTGTTTGGAGGTTGGCACTTGGCAATAATTGTCCAAAGTGTCCTCCTACTAAATAAAAGATGAGAAATATGAAATTTTTGGAAGGAATTTTCTGTTTTTGTGTAAGCAAATATTGAAGTGCTTGCTCTCTTGAAAACAAGTCTAAATTTTTGATCCACAAAACATGCTAAAAAAATATTACTATATTTAGAATAATATAAATAGTACAAGAGATAAAATGTGTATTTTTGTTTGTCTTTCATAATAATCTTAGCAATATGACTTCCAACAAAACAAAAAGGATTCTTATGGCCACAGAAGATTTTTGTTTTGATTTGACTCTAAAATGGACAAGGAAAATGAGGAATTATGCAGAAATTTGGAGGTTTGATAAATTTTCTTTCTTTTTTTGGAGTGGGGGTATTTTGGGAATTTAAGGAAGAGAATCCATATGACACTAGTCTTCTGTTAAAAGCCTTTGTCTGCAAGTACAGTGGGGGTCCACCTACATGAAGATCAACAATTGCTCATTTAAAATATTGATTTTTAAATCTACATATATGATGCAAATATTCTACCGCTCTCTTTATAAGACTCGGAAAAGTTTTATTATTCGATTTAGTGACAAGCAATGGTAATTCTGGTAACTTCAAAAAAAATTTGAGTCATGAAATTTTACCAGTTTAAAACTTAACTAGTGTAAACTAGTGATATACACAAGTGAATTGAATAGAGTATTTACATCTAATGGCAATAGAACTGATTTATCATATATAATTGTTGGATTTATACTATCATTTGATTGTTTGTGATGTGTGAGTCTTCTCATAACATGTTCAGTCTATATTTAGACATTTAATTTATCATATAAAAGTGTGGGACGGTTTCACTCTTGTGAATTTGTTGTGAACATCTAATCTTCATAAAAAAACTTTACTTTCATTTTTTTTTTGATAAACCCTATCGGCTGATTTGGTTAGCTCTGGTAGAAACGCACCAAAGTGCTTCAGAGTGGACTTCTCTCCGAAAGACTACCACAGTGTCTGTCCCGAGTTTGGAATGCTTTCCGACTAATGTCAGGGGTAGCTAGATCGCCTGTTACTGGACTACCAGGTAAACTGGTTGGGCCTTGGGTCCAAAGCCAAACTTTCCACACAAATGTATTTTTTTTTCAGCGTGGATCGAACCTATATTAGTTCCTTCAAACATTTCCTTAATTCTCAACTGTATGGACTTTTCTTCCATTTTAAATTATACTTACTTCGTTTATTTTAGATTCTTTTGCCTCTAAACGAATTTTCATTCTCCGTTTTCTATATTTGACTAAAAGACAGCCAGTTTATCTATTTTTATTATTATTATCAATGCATGCAGAATTGTAGAGTAATAGTTATGTATTTCACAAAAAAAGAAAAAAAAAAGTTGTTGTTGTTCATAAGAAATTGACATCACGAGAGTATGAGAGAGGGAGAAGGTATGGTGAAAATGTGTCTGCAAGCAATACAGTGGGGATATAACGCCATAAATAGTCCAAATTCGAGGTTTCTTTCAAATTTAACTACCCCCTTTCATTGTCAATACTATATTATTAATACGGCCCTTTTTCAATCTTATTTTCACACACTTAACTATTCAAGTGGTAACTAGTATTCATCATCTGAATTTGCCCAACAAAATGTTATATTGCTAGGCAAAACTGATAATATATCAGTTAAATTTTAAATGATAGATTTGGCTGAACTATACAAATTGCATGTTAAGTGAGATGATCATGAGTTCATGACCTTTCTTTTTTTGGTCTTTAATAACAAATTCAGCCACTTTCTTTTTGTAACGTGCACAGCGTTGAAATTAATTTTCCACCAAAAATCAATTTAGTTTCTTAAAATAATGTTACCCGTTTATAGGTTATTATATGTATTACGTTAATATGCGACCAATTGTTTTTTTTAAATATATTTTATTGGTTGATTTCCAGTAAAAGTATACCGAAATACTATATAATGAATATTTTTCGAATAATCACTACACTCTTTAACCTGAGTTTAGAATGTATTTCGACTAATGTTATAGGTTAGCTAAATTTTTATTACCGTACTACCAGATAAACTACATGCACCGAAATTTAAACCCAAATTTTCAGTATGAATATTATTTTGTTTCGAGTTAAGTTCAAACCCTGAAAAGAGCGTTTTAGTACATTTCTAAATATCACCAACCACTCGACCATATATGGGTCACGACAAATTCTTCAAACGTATATTGTTGTGCATGCAACTAAATTTGTACCGAAATAACTTTGAAATGCTTGAGATGTTTTAAGTGACTCTAATTTCAGGTTTAGTGATCCATATTTACCGTTGGAAACTAAACTTTTGCATTTTGCAAAAATCCCTCCCAAACCACTTCGGAAGTCAATGAGCTAACTTATTTATAAAAATATAGTCTATGGTTAATAATCTACTAATCTTCTACCACTATTTGATAAATTCACCTATGGACCGACGACCGAACCAACCATATCATTAAAAAAAAAAAAATCTGATTTAAAATAGCTTTGTAGTTTTTTTTTGTGAGGGGGTCAATAGTTAAATTCGATGTCTAATAACTTACATATGGACCACCGGTGAAGTCAAATGAAAAGAATTGCGGCTTAAATTTTTTTGCAAGTGTGAATTGTTTTTTGTTTTTTCTTTTACAATATAAATATATTTTTTTGTTAAAGAAAAAAAGCATTTAGGCTTCTTTTACAATATTGCATATATATATATATATCTGTGTATATTACCCTGAAGAGGGAGTGAGTGACTGAGTGACAGAGGTATGGCAACTGTTACCGAGTTTGTTTTCCTTTGGCAGAGATTTTTCAGACCACAGTGACAGTGAAAGTAATTTCTGTATTACAACATTATATCATTGTTCACATTTCCAATCATAATCCATTTTTCTGATTATTTAATTCACTGATCTATAGTCTGTTCTTTTAATTAACTTTCTCTTTACTCTTCAGGAGAAAATATATATATATACAAAACAGTAAAATTATTTACCACTTTTCTACCATTACCCAAATCTCGCTATTTAGATACTCACTAAGACTATGTTAACTGAAATTCTTACATATTAATTATGTAACATTACTCTTCTGTATAAATAAGTAAAATAAGAAAATCAGTAACATTTTACAATTGACTTATATAGTAATTCGGTCCTTTGACCTAGGAACATCAGTGATTTAAAACCACTGAACCTGGGTTTTTTTTTTTTTTTTTTTTTTTTTTTTTTTTTTTTTTGATTACACCATCATTCAAACACTTTCTCTATCTATATCATCCGAGACATGTGCCCCCATCTCTCCGACTCCGACTCGACTCCGACCGACGTTGGTTCTGCTACTGAGCCCACCAACATTCAATCATCCTTATTGTTTGAATAATCGATTTAATTACAACAGTTTGAAATCGATTTACCATGCATTTAATTGTGTTGATGCTTGATGCCCAATATGAGTCAAATTGACAACTTTTCTGATTTCTGATTTATCAAACAATGTTTTGATAGAACGCACACTTGATAATAGTTTTTAAACGTTTTAAATCGTATTGATTTATGATTAATTATCAAAAAATTAAAAAGCGTTTCATTAAAAAGATTATTAGCTTATTATAAACGTATTTTTGAGAAACATATCTATTTTTTATATTGAAAGTAAAAAGAAACCAATAATACAGATCAGGTATGTTATGGGACAAAGAAAGAGTCAACGCTATATAGACTAATTAAAGAGGAGAAAAAAAAAAGAGTTTGCTCGTTGGTAAAACTTGGAGGGAGAGTCAATAATTACTGCTTAAAAAGAAAATATTGATACATATTTTTCTTTAGATCAAGGATTTTGTTTCTGCGATTTATTTGTAATTAACTTTTCCTAAAATTATTAGTTAATCCTTCACATGAAGTTGAGTTTAGGTACTTATAGAATAACCTATTTCTCCATGCATGGCATATTATAATTATATTATGATAGTTTCTAGTAGATAGGGTGGATCAAACATGAAATTATTTTACAATCTCGTATATTTTCCATTAAAAAGATCGCCAGTCAATTAGAACAAACAAAAAATTGTCCAACTTGCCACTCTCGCAGCTTTAGGTGAGACCTTGACCTTAATTTCTTCCTTCGCATTCCATAACAATTTTCAATAGTATTTTTGAAGTTCCACCAATCATATCGATATAGATTATCGAGTGAACGCCAATGTGAGATATGTATCTGCAAATTAAAACATTATTTTTCCTAAAAGAAAAAAAAATTCTTTTCCTAATTACAATTTCTCTATGTTTGATATATGTTGATTTTACTCTGTATTGGAAAAAGGAAGTAGTCTCGCGTACCTTTTTTTTTAATATCAAATTTCTCTAAACTCTATAATTTCGCTGTCAAAAAAAAAAAAAAACTCTATAATTTCAACCTGCTTCTCTTTTCCATTTGGAAAAATAATTGCGGTTCTCTAATTTATGTATTACTAGTATTATTGCATGCATGCACATGCGCTTCACTGTTTATCATTTAGTTGCCAAATTTGGACCACCCGACTTCCTCCGTATTTATTCACTTTTAATTAATAGAACATGTTATCCTTAATTATAATTTTTTTTAATCATATATCGATGTAATGTAGGTGCGAGTATAAAGCTTTTTTTGCGAAAACTATCTCTTGAACTAAAAGTTTATTTTTGATTTTTTTTATGAGAGAGCCAGAGAGGTAAACACTTTACTTTACAGTACATGATTATTTAAATTTAATATATGTTACCGTATATATGTATGCAAAATTATATCTCTATTGTATATAAACGTATATAAATTGGTTATTTCTCTCAAAAGTGATTAAAACATCACACCATAGATACAATATTATTTGAAAAGTATAGGATATTCACTAAAAGAAGTGTAATCAATTTTTTAAATATATAGAAAAGTACACATGACAACAAAAACGAATCATAATTAAATAAAGTTGAGAAAAGTAAAACTGAACTAAACTTGTTTTAAAAACGAAGAAAAAGAAACAAGATAAAATATGCAGATAAAGACGAGAGATGTGAACCGTGAAGAAGTGGATAAAGATGCAAATAATTTTGGTTTTAGTTTTGTTGAGAGACCACCAATTCCACCAATCAGAGCCTTTTCTGTTGGATTCCGTTCACACCAACCCAAGCGAATATAATTTTTTGATCGCATTGTATTTCTCATTGCAGAAATTATAGTAAGAAATGCATTTAAATCTCTAACAAACATGCAACCAAGAAACAAAATTTGCTAAACACATCAGCAATTCGGCATTTGTTTTTTATTTCTTTTTTGGCAGAGTTACAAACGTTTAGGTCTTAAGATGTAACACCTATCTTTCGTATATATGATATTTACAAGTTTAGCAAAAAAAATAAAAAAAATTTCGGCATTTGTAGTTGCTATCTTGCTTTATATACAGAAACAAACTTAGAAATTAAGCTTTTACCTCTTCAGTGTCAAGACACACCAAGTATGACGTCATATCGATCGTTCCCTTGTTCGTGAATTAAACTTGTCAAAACTTCATAATCTGATTCAAATATGGCATTTGATAAACGTCAATCAATTTAGAAAACTTGCTAGTCAAGAAAATATTGCATAGCGAGACATTTAAAATACGGCATACCTAAGTCCGAAAATGATCGTGCTTTTGTGGTTCTTGTTTCTCTGTGTTGTGTGAATTAGTACAACATAAGGTATGTCTTTTGTAAACCCATAAATCCGTTACAAATAGGAACAAGACTTCAGTCTACAAGCAAAGAAAAAGAATAAACCGGTTAATGTGCATATTTTTATAACAAGAAAATTGGATGGCAAAACAAATATGATTATAAGAATATCGATGGCGATTTCAGTTAGCAACCTTTCAAATGGTAAATTGTTCTTAGCAAAAACAAAAAAAATGGCAAATTGTTACCACCTTATGGTGGTGATATGTTACGAATCAATTCCATAAATACTACACACACAAAAACTAAAGACCGGATTGATGGGTTAATGGAAGGAAGGTGGGGGCTGAGAAGTGATGTGACGGATCCTAATAAGAACAGCAATGGTACAACTTGCTGCTGTGAAAGAGAGAAAGAGAGGTACCAGTGACAAGTGGCATGCCACGTGGGCCGGCGGTTTAGGACCCAATCAGAGTGAAATTGCCACGTGAGATCCTCTCCACGTCCCGACAACCATCGAAGCCTTCTTCTCTCTGTTTCCTTCCACCATCCTCTTAACTCTTTTTTCCTTAAGCAAACTAAATTTTTTTAAATATTTTGCAATTTACGGCAATAAAATGTGGGCAACAAAAACAAAACGAAATATTTACATTCGTTTTCATTGTACAATAGAGAATACATTCCAAAAAACCAGGAGAAACTCACCCACTATCCTAGAATATTGCTTAACCATACAGTCAATATACGTATACTATCATTTTAAGCATTTAGGGATAAAGTTAAAAAATAGAATGCGTAAGGATGTCTAAGATGTATAATCTAAGGGATAACAAGGCTATGTGAATTATCATTAAAAAAAAAAAACCCCAAGGCTATGTGTATGCATCTTTTGGTTCGTGTAAACATGTTAAAAAGTTGCTTTGTGGTAATCTATCTGACTATTTAGAAGCACATGTTGTAATCTAGCTTCGAGAGACGTTGCACAGCATGTATCAGAGCTTGTGCTTTAGCAATATTGCTTTATTAATTATAAGTTGAAAATGTTGTTTAATTCCTTCTTGGTTGTTATATGATATATATATAACTTTATTAGTTCATTGGGACTAAGGAGGTTTGCTAAAATTTCCTCGTTCTCGCTGCAATAGCTAGTGATTAGTTAATTGATAGTGATCAATCAACATTCACTTCTCTCAGACTGTTATCATTTAGTTAGTGGATCATAATCTCTGCTAATATTGATTATTTGGAAGATGAAAGATAGTTGAGAGTTGTAGCTAGCTTTAGTCAAAGTGGTCCTCTTCTAATGTGACTACCACCGTTTCCATTCTTTCAAACATTTATGCTGCGGTGGAGAGAAATAAACATTTCAGAAAAATTAATTCATAGATATATACTCGTCGATGAAACGATGTCGCAACAATATTGAAAAAAATATTACCAAACATAACTTATATATATGTCACTAAAACTCGTTTTTGTTTTTGGTCAAAACACTAAAACTCGTTCACAACTGAAAGATTGTTGTACTGAAATAAAACTCTGCCCCAATTGTACATATGTATTTTTCACTAATCATTTTTAATATTTAAGATGCTAAAAATTCTGCAGAGGACATGTATATTTTAAAGTTTAATAAATGGATTACTTTAGAGCAATGTTCTAAAATACGGTATGTACGGCCGTATATACAGCGTATATATGCTGTACGGTGGGAAGCCGTACTGTATTATAGCTATACAATTGTTTAATATGGTAAAAGCTATACGGTCCGCATATACGGCGATTATACGGCGTATATACGGTGAAATCCGCATATACGGCGTTTTTTTTTTTAAATATTGGAAACAAAAACTGTGTCATTTTATTTTAAACCCCTCCATAAATTCTTGCGCCACTTTAGTGTTTTACGATTAGCGCTGCGACCGGTTCTCACCAGACGCTTTGTTTTCCTTACTCATTAGTTTAAGGCACGGTGTCATTTTATTAATGTTTGGAAAAATGATTTGGCAAAATTATTAGTTTGGCTCTCAAAAAATTAATCATAATAATTAAATATAAAATAACTTAATTATCATTCTTTTCCACTATTTTTATGCTTATTAGTTATTTAACATTTTAAAAATATTTTGTAAAGTTGAAAATTTGAATTTTTTGTATTCATGTATAGTATCATCATGTTACTATATTTATGTTTTATTGTTATTATATATGTTTATATTTATTTAATAAAAAATATCTACCGTATAGTCCCGCATAAACGGCCGTAGATACGTCTATACGTTATACGGTGCTCCACCGTACGCCTAGCGTATAGCGTATTTTAGAACATTGCTTTAGAGATTGTCAGATTGACTCTATTTAACTGAACTATTAAGTACTTTTGGATTTCAACAAATATTTATATCTTGGAGGTAGATGGGCAAATAACAATAATACCCTAAAAATAAAATTATTTGCCTAAAAACAAGGGATTATTGTTGATTTTGCCATTTTTCATAGAAATCTTTTGAAATTGTCATTTTTATTAAAATCTTACGGATATGTCATTTTCAAACACTTAAAAATGTACGTATTTCAGATTTTTTTTTCGTAAAAATACTTAGTTTATACAAAATACTAAACCCTAAGAACAACCACAACCGACTAAACCCAAAAATAACGAATAAAATGCATGTTAAATCATATTTCCGTAGTCTGAAAAAGGGCAAAATCCATAAACTATTCAAAAAATGGCAAAATCCACAAAAGTCATCCCAAAAAATGGCAAATCCATAATTGATTCTAAAAACAATTAAAATTAGAAATTATTTGACACTTTGACACCATGACACGTGTAACAGTTAAATTTTCGTAACTGTTTTTCTTAATTGGTTTATCTCCGGTCGATCTTCAAGGTTTATGCCTTGTTCCTAGTGTGTTTTGCTCTCTACGTCTGGCTGTTAAGGTGTGATGGTAGTTGTATTTGTGTCTCTGGTCTCGGTGGGTTCTTGCTTTCCTCTATGTCGGTTTGCTACTGGTTTGACTTCGGTGTGAGGTCTTCCGATCTTATTGGTGCTTCCGACGTTAACAGGTTCTTTGGGAAGCTGGGTGAGACGCTCTGGTTCCTTTGTTCAAATAGTGCTTGGATTTCATATTTTCCTTCGCAGTTCCTCCTCTTTACATATTTGTCTATATCGTTTGCTTAAATGGTTGGTCTAAATTAGCTTCCCCTCTGTTGGGGCTTTGTTTCCCTCTTTTCGGCTAATTTTCTGGAGACATTCTGTTCGTCTGCCGGCATATGTATTTCAACTTGTATCCTATTTTGGTTTCTTAATAAAATTTAGATGACAAAAAAAAAAAAAAAAGGGAAAAAACACGAGATTAGTTTTCTCCAACATGGACAAGGACATGCACAATTGCACATAATCATAGTTACGTTAATTAATACAATTACTCTTAACTAATTTATTATGGCACGTCACTGCATCATCGTAGAACAAGGGTAAAAAAGTCATTCCCCCCATCCAGGCATATTCCGGTCGGTGAATTGAGGAGGTTGAGCGATAAATTTTCCAATTTTGATTTCTATATTATTCGAAATTACTTTCGGGTTGGCTAAACAATTCTCCTTCGATTTTCCGATTCACACAAACTCCAATATCGTAATTTCTAAATCTCGATCCAGATTCCGAGCTCATCCTTCTCCGGCGAATTTCGATTTCTGTTTTCCGATCTGATTACAGAGAACCACATCGAAGCTTCCAGAAAAAACGATGTTTAACGGATTAATGGATCCTGAGATGATCCGTCTTGCTCAAGATCAGATGAGTCGTATGACTCCTGCTGATTTCGCTAGGATCCAACAACAGGTTTCGTTAATTTTTCCCAATTCAATTTCTTCGTAGATTCTGTGATCGATTCTGATCAATTCTTTGCCAAGTGTGTAGTGTAATTAATTTGTTTGATTGATGTGATTGTGATTTAGGTGATTTTGTTTCACTCTGTTTTTGTATGATGAATTTATGCGATTGTTGTTACAGATGATGTCAAATCCAGATTTGATGAATATGGCAACGGAGAGTATGAAGAACATGAGGCCTGAAGATTTGAAACAAGCTGCTGAACAGCTTAAGCATACACGGCCTGAAGATATGGCTGAGATTAGCGAGAAGATGGCGAAAGCTTCCCCTGAAGATATTGCAGCTATGCGTGCTCATGCTGATGCTCAGTTTACTTATCAAATCAATGCAGCTCAGATGCTTAAAAAACAGGTAACATTGGCTTTGGGAGGGAGGTGTGATTTATTTCTCTTTTCGAGTTTTCGTTTAGTTAAAAAAACTCTTGGAACTAAGAAACAGAATGGGGTTGCCTTGTTTTCAATTGAATTGTGCATTCCTGGTGATAAAGTAAGGAGAAAGAGTTGCATCAACTATGGAACTTGTACCTGCAGTGGGTAAACTTTGTTGTTAATCTCATTTGCTGCTACGTTTGGCAGGGAAACGAGCTTCATAGCCGAGGAAATTTCAGTGATGCTGCAGAGAAATATTTGCGTGTAAGCCTGCATACGTATCATTTGTCATGCTACTTTGACTTTCCAGTCTCTTTGTTGTCTTGAGTTTTATTTATAATGATGTGCGATTTTTTTCTACTTCTGTATAATGCTCTTGGACCATATCTCAGGCGAAGAACAATCTGAAAGACATTCCATCTTCTAAAGGAGGAGCAATTTTGTTGGCTTGTTCTCTCAATCTAATGTCTTGTTATTTGAAGACGAATCAGCATGAAGAGTGCGTAAAGGAAGGTTCTGAGGTATGATACACCTTCTTTATGCTCTTAATTTTCTGAAAACTCGTAGATGATAACAGTTATAGGAAAGAGGGAGATGGCAGTCTTTTGGCTTCTTTTTTGTAGATGTAACACACGATGTCATACAGCGTTTTATGATCTATTCAACCCTGTTTCAATGTTTCAGGTTTTGGCATCCGATGCAAGGAATGTCAAAGCCTTATACAGAAGGGGTCAAGCTTACAGAGATCTAGGCTTGTTTGAAGTGAGTTCTACTGTTGTTTATGGGACTTTCTTGAGATTCCTTGTGAATATGTATGTGCGTACTGTAGATATGTCCTGACTATATGTTTGCTTATTGACTTTCTTAAACTATAAGGATGCCGTCTCTGATCTAAGCAAGGCCCATGAAGTTTCCCCAGAAGATGAGACAATTGCCGATGTGCTAAGGTATGGATTTTTATATTGATTACTGTAATGTCATACTTTTCAATTCTGCTTATTTCAGAGGTTTGGGTATCAATATTTTAAAAATAACTTTGACTTTACGTATTATCTTTTCTGATGCAGAGATGTTAAGGAAAGATTGGCTGTTGAGGGACCTGGCAAGGCATCAAGAGGTATAATATTTATCCCTTATGATTTATACGAAATAATACAGTGTATTATGTCAGACCAGACGTTTCTTTGCTGCATCGATGATATGCTTCGTCCATGAATTGGGAAAACAACTGAAAAATGTTATGTTGTTTGGTTATTAGGTGTGGTGATTGAAGACATAACTGAAGAAAATAATGTTACTTCCGGAGGGAATAAAAAATCGTCTAAAGAGATTACTGGGACACAACGAGAAAGAAATGTTAATGGTCATGCTCAGGGCGTAAAGACTGATGTTGATGGATTGCAGGCTCTCAAAGATAATCCAGAAGCAATCAGGTTCTACACCTTTCCAAACTAGTGTTTGATGTGTTGTTTCATCTTTTTGTCTCCTAAGCTTGAAGACAAATATAATCTAAAGCCTCCTTTTTCTGCTACATGTGGCACAATTAGTATGATTTTGTAATTTTTTTGATTCTTTCTATGGCCTGCAGAACTTTCCAGAACTTCGTTTCAAAAACTGATCCCGATACACTTGCTGCTCTGAGCGGAGGCAAAGCTGGAGACATGTCACCGGACATGTTCAAAACTGCGTCGAGTATGATAGGCAAAATGTCACCTGAAGAGATTCAAAAAATGGTTCAAACAGCCTCTTCGTTTAAAGGAGATAACCCTTTCGCCCCAACTGCGCCATCTACAGAAAACGGTTTTACACCCACACCTGACATGCTTAAACTTGCATCTGATATGATGAGTAAGATGTCACCAGAAGAGCGTGAGAGGATGTTTAACATGGCATCGTCTTTGAAAGCAAACGCTCCAGCTTCAACATCATATGGCACTGCAGAAGCATCTGAACCACGGGAAAGTTTAGGAGCGAGTGGGAGTTCTTCGGGAAATTCATTTGTGGCGCCAAGAAGCGGTTTCGAACCAAGCATCCCTTCTGCTCCGCCTGCTGACTTGCAGGAACAGATGAGAAACCAAATGAAAGATCCAGCGATGCGACAGGTTTGATCATTTTCGGTTTTATGTTTACCAATTTAGTCAACATAATGTGATTGTAGATGTTCATATAGTAGTTTCTCTGTATTTGGTAGATGTTCACATCTATGATAAAGAACATGAACCCAGAGATGATGGCTAGCATGAGCGAACAATTCGGGATGAAGCTTTCTCAAGAAGATGCTGCAAAAGCTCAGCAAGCCATGGCTTCTCTTTCTCCCGACGCCTTGGAGAAAATGGTACGAATTCGGTTTAGGGAAACCAAAAGAACATTGCAAAGTTGCCTGTATAGTTGTCTCAATTATAAAACTGTTGTTGCAGATGCGATGGGCGGATCGGGCTCAAACCGGGATGGAGAAAGCGAAGAAAGCAAAGAAGTGGCTACTCGGAAAAGGCGGATTGATCTTTGCAATATTAATGCTCGTTTTAGCAATGATCCTTCACCGTCTCGGCTATATTGGAAACTAGAGGAAACAACGGTATCTTAAGGCTTAATTAATAATACCTTCGTGAAGACCAGACCAGTCTTCGGTGGGTTCGTAGTTTGTAAAACTGTAACATCGTTTATCTTCTTTTTCTTTCCTCTAACTCTCGGCTTTTTGTTGGTCCACTTGTGTCTAAATTTCTTTACACTTTCTACTGTAGTGTTTTAAAATTAGAGAATATACGATTATTTCCTTTTTAGATATTCGTTATTTTTATTTTATAAACATAATTATTCTTCTTCGTATAAACCAAGAGAGATCGATCTACAAGAAAACTGGTTATTTGCGTTGGAGATTTTTTTAGCAAATAGCCTATAACGAGGAAATACAATCCTTCACAATATAATACTCGTAATCGCAAAATTTTGTAATTTTTTTGCAAATTTTGCGAAGAAAAAATTTCATAGCAAATTTCTTGTAAATTTGTCTAGTAAATCTTTTTTTTTTTGCAAATTTTGCGAAGAAAATTTTTGTAGCAAATTTCTTATAAATTTGTCTAATAAATCTTTCGTAAATATTGTAATTGCGATAGATTTGTTAAATTTTTTAAAATATTCTTTTTTTAAAAAATTGTTTATATTCTTTCACAATTTATAGTAATTTTACAAAAAAAGATTAATGAAAATTTTGCTATATGTACCAACTTTGCTATATGTGGTTGTACTTACGTTCCGTTTTTATGAAGCTCTTGAAACTTTAGAAGAAAGAATGTTTTAGTAACTCTACTGCACTTGGTCTGCAAGCAAATTCACTCACAACAATATATGTGTCAGATTGCTCGCAAATCTAAATCATCTATTAAGTTTTTTTTTTAAAAAAAGTAAATCTGATTAAGCAGAAGATTACCTTAAGTTAGCTGATGAAAACAACAATTTTCATATAAGATAAATTTTTTTAGAGAATTTCCATACAAACATATTCTTGGTGCGAGAGTCACCTTCGATGACTTAAAGAGGTTAGATTCAAATTTGCACAACGGCTTGATATGGTATTTAGAGAACAAGTTAGATGATATTTATGAGTTCACAGATGAAATAGATGGAGAGGTATGAGCTAATATATCTATGTTTTGATGTTCTTTATTCGCAAGATTTTGCTGACTTTTTTCTTGAATTTTGATAATCACTCACAACAGGTCTACGACCTTAAGGCCAACAGACGAAACATAGCGGTGACCGAAGCAAACAAGAAAGAGTTTGTAGACCTCAAGGCAGCCAACAGAATGACAATTGCTATTGAGAAACAACTCAACGAATTCGTTAAAGGCTTTCATGATTTGGTACCTCAAGAAGTCATATCAATCTTAAGCCACGAAGATCTCAAACTGCTTACGAGTGGAATGCCTCCTGCTGATGGTAAGTAAATCGAATATCAGAAATGACAGAAATGAAATTAATATCAGAAATCGAATAAAAAGTTTTAGAGAATTTGATTGTAGCAAATTTTGTAGCAAATTTCTTGTAAATTTGTCTAGTAAATCTTTCGTATATTGTTATTGCGATGGATTTGCTAAATTTTTTAATATATATATATATATATATATTTTTAAAAACTTATATTCTTTCGCAATTTATAGTAATTTTACGAGGGAATATAAAAAATTACAAAAAAAAAGATGAATGAAATTTTTTCACCAAGTTGTTATGTACTAACTTTGCTATATGTGGTTGTACTTACGTTCCGTTTTTATGAAGCTCCTGAAACTTCAGAAGAAAAAATGTTTTAGCAACTCTACTACACTTGGTCAAGTCAACAATGTATCAAATATGTGCCAGATTGCTCGCAAATCTAAATCATCTATTAAGTATTTTTTAAAGTAAATCTGATTACCTTGAGTTAGCTGATAAAATCAGCAATTTCCATATAAGATAAAAAGTTTCAGAGAATTTTTCGACTTGCTGGGAGACCAGTATTAGGGATAATAATATCTCACATTGGAAGTTGAGTAGGATCTTAAGTGGTATATATAAGATATGAGCCCCTCCACTCATTGCCAATTGATTTTGAGTTGAAAGCCCATATTCTAATATGGTATCAGAGCCCGATCCGTTCATGCTCAATCCAATCCACATCGGCACGACCTAATAGTTGGTCCGCCGATCCATGCCCAAACATACCGAGAATCAATGAGCCATCATTTCGAGGAAGCGTATTAGAGATAACAATATCCCACATTGGAAGTTGAGTAGGATTTTAAGTGGTATATAGAAGATATGGGCCCCTCTACTCATTGCCAATTAGTTTTGGAATTGGAAGCCCATATTCTAATAGGTAGGTGGCATATCTTTTGCGAATGAAACGGATTTTCAAGAGGATTCATAGATTGTTTGAGCTATTTCATTGTTGAAAATTGTCAAAGATACATAAACTCTCGAAAATGTTGATATATCAACTCAAGCATACTTTACCTAAAACATTTTGCTTTCCACTTGAAATTAGTTTAGGTCGTGACTTTCTTGTTTGTATACATTTTTAATGATATCGTTGATCATAAAGCATGTTTTTTGAAAAATACTGTGGTGAAGCTTTATATTCACCCCTTTTATTTCAGTCAATTAGAATTTGCCACATAATAATAATAATAAAAAGTTTATTTAACTATAAAAACTAATTTGCCACTAAAACAAAATTATGTATCGGTTTGGGTTTATTAGAAAAGTTTAGGGTTTAGATTTTATGATTAAACGAGGTTAAATATCGGTTTGGGTTTATAAACGGATTTAGATTTTACAATTTAAACGAAGTTAAATATCGGTTTGGTTAGAAAGTGCGATTAGGGTATAAATTTTATGGTTAAACAAGGTTAAATATCGGTTTGGGTTTATAAATAGATTTAGATTTTAAAATTAAACGAGGTTAAATGTCAGTTTGGGTTTAGAAAGTATGATTAGGGTTTAATTTTTTTTTTTTTACGATTAAACGAGTTTAAATGGTGGTTTAAATTTACAAAAGAGAATACGAGTTTAGATTTTGTAATTAAACGAAATTATATATCGGTTTGGGTTTATAAAAGAATGGTTAGAGATTATATTTAATAATTAAATGAATTTTTTTTTATCTGGCGAATTTTGATTGGTTAAAATAAAATGGGTGAATATAAAAATTCACTCTTAGGGGTAAACCCAAGTATTGCTCATGTTTTTTTGTGTGTTAAAATCGCTATCGAATGTAAGATAGTCGATATGTTTGTTTAAAAATATTACCACAATAAAATATACTGATAAGAGAACAAAAATTATAAAAAAAATTCAATAAAAACGAAAGATTATTAATGGTTGTTTATGAAATTTCAAAAGATTTTGATGAAAATTTATATATTACTTTCTTAAATTAATCAAAAAATCAACTTTAAGACTTATTAAATTTTAAATCATTTTAAATGAAGGATGAAGTAGAAGAGAAGGAAACACGTGTCGTAATCTGGGGCCCAGCTAAATCAATACTTCGTTAAAATGTCTTTAATTAAAATAAGCATATATATATATTAAAAAATAGAAAAAAATCGAACGTCGTGAGAGGGAGGGAGAAGGAGAGAGAGTCAATAGAGACCACGCGCAGAGAAAAAAGAAGAAAAGAGAGAGTCTTTGTCTTTGTCTTCTTCCTAATCCTTTTTCTCTCCCATTATCTTCGGCGAATCATGAATCTAGGGTTTTGTTTTCTCCCACAACCCTAGATTTTCTTCCTTGATCAATCAATCACCAGATTATCTCATTTCTTCTTCTCCGTTTTAGCTCATCTTCCGATTCATCGCGATTTCCATGGAGGTTAGGGTTTCCGTTTCAAATTTCATTTTTTTGCGCGAGGGCAATTCAATCGAATCCCTTTTGATTTGTTTGTTCTCTAAGACAACGATGTGAGCTTAGATTTTGATTTGATCCGGCGTAATTGCATTGATGACCTTGTTTTTGGGACTCGAAGCCATTTTCGAATTATTATGGTTTTCGTGTTGAATTTCTCGTCTTCTCTATTGGAATTTTTAGGGAGCGGGAGATACGACGACGTCGGAGGGGCATTTGACTTCGGCAGCAGCTTTTGTTGAAGGGGGAATTCAAGATGCTTGTGATGATGCTTGTAGCATTTGTCTTGAATCCTTCTGCGAAAGCGATCCATCCACTGTATGTTACCTAAATTTATTTACTTTTTTTTTTTTTTTTTTCATTTTCATCAAGTTACACATTGATTCATTTTGTTTTTTAATCTCTCGCAGTTGACTAGTTGCAAGCATGAGTATCATCTTCAATGCATTCTTGAATGGTAAGCTCTTCAAAAAATTTAACACCTTGTGCATTTACCTCTGTTTTTGAGCTCTGTCATGGTAGATACTCTCATTGAACATAAATTTTCCAATAGGGTTTGCTTATAGAATGTGTAGAGACTAGAGAGTTTTGACTTTGTTTTCGGAACTTACGGGGAAGTGAGGAGATTCCATTTACAACTCCTTAAGGGGAGAGAAGAAGAATAATCAATACCTCAAGTCTTGTATCCATATTTCCTCTTTGTGCCAAGCTTATAAGGTCTGTGTCATTTGTATTTTAAATTTATAGGTGTCAAAGGAGCTCACAGTGCCCAATGTGTTGGCAATCTATTAGTCTCAAAGACCCCACAAGGTTAATTTCGTCTCCTCGTAATATGAATTAGTTTTTTTTTTTATCGGTAAAATCACCACAAGACATCCTCGACAGAGGTTTCAATTATGTGTATTTCAATGTTTCCAGTCAGGAGTTGCTTGAGGCTGTTGAACAGGAGAGGAATTTCCGCTTCAATCCAGCTAGAAATGCCACCATATTTCGTCACCCCACTCTTGGTGATTTTGAATTACAACATGTATGTGACTATTTTATTATCATTTGGAGTTGATTATACATCACTTTTCTAGTGAATTGTCTAATTAGAGCTCTATTTTTGTTCAAATCTCCTTTAATGCAGCTGCCAGTGGGGGTGGATAATGCAGAGATTGAAGAACGAATCATTCAGCACTTGGCTGCTGCTGCTGCTATGGGACGAGCAAGACATGGGGTAAGAAGGGAAGGCCACAGAAGCAGGTCGTCAAGTCAAGGACATCCACAGTTTATGGTGTTCTCTTCACATCCTAATGCTTCTTCTCCTCCACCTCATCCTCCCATGCCTTCTTCTCCATCTCAGAGAGGTGAGAGTGACACAGTCTCAAACCTTCCTCACAATACCTTAGGGGAGGGTTCTCATCAGTCAAACACGCAGCCACCAACTTCTTCTCATCCCCGCCAGGTTTCTCCTTCGGCATCTGATTCAAACAGCAGGTCTTTACCAGAACTCTCGCCTTTTATCGTCTCGTATTACTGTGTAGTTACATGCAGCCAATCTGAGCCATCCTTTGCTTTACCATACGCAGGCCTGTTAATCAATCTTCCCCAAGTGATCAAGATAGAGCTGGACCATCAGAACTCCAGTCATTTTCGGAATCACTAAAGTCTCGATTAAACGCTGTCTCCACGAGGTATCCTGCCTCTATCTGGCAGCTTTGGCTTGTTTATTAATTTTATCAATTCTAAGTGATTCCCATGCACAATGTAGATACAAAGAATCGATATCAAAGAATACAAGAAACTGGAAAGATAGACTTTTTTCTCGCAACACTTCCATGGCTGATCTTGGCTCTGAGGTTAAAAGAGAGGTCAGCGCCGGAATCGCCACTGTGTCCCGCATGATGGAACGTCTAGAAACGAGAGAAAACAGTAGACCCAGCACTGCATCTGTATCAGATGTCTCTGAAAATCACACTCCTGAATCAAACAATGAGCATAATAATAGATCAGAAGCGGGTGATGAACATTCTATGAATGAAAGAGGTGTTAAAGAAACATGTGCGACTGGTTCTGGTTCAAGCTAATAAGCAAGTGCCAGCACCTTGTTGGCAAAGGTAAAATTTGACTCTTTGATTTACTGATTGTGGCTTATCAAGTGGTTGTTCAAGAATGGTTAGTCATTATAGAATTCTGTTACTTATTTTATCTGTTAACTAAGCTTAAGCTTATCTCATCAATTTCATTTTCCGCCCGTTGATTTACAAATTATGCATCTTCATTTGCAAAACTTTAGATGAAACTTCTTCCATTCAAAGCCCATGTTTCTAATGAATGCTAAGATCTTGTTCTGTTACTTGTGTTTTGCAGAGAGAGGAAGATGTTGTCCATTGTGAAATTCTGATAATATATATATACACAGAGTCGGAAGTCTCAAAAGTGTGGGAGCATAGGAAGAAGGTTTATTGATAACATAAAAGAGTTTTCTGATTCTCAATAAATAAGAAAAAGGTTATATATGACCAAAAGTAGGCCTTAAGACGCCTTCTTCTGTGTTGTGTCAAACAAACGAAAAAAAAACTAAAGAGAAAAAATAGAGTAAAGACTATGTGTGTTGTTGGTTATTTGGTCGGTCTGTTGTAAATTCATTGTTGTTCACTTTACGGATTTCTATGAATTTCTACTTATGTATCTTCAAAAACTTGGCCTAGCAAAACCAATTTGATGCATCTGTTCCGATGTGTCTATGTTAGTTATGATAGTGTTGTGTCAAACCAACAAAAAAAAATGGTGCATGGTTTTCGGTTTAGTTTTTGACTTCTTAAAACGTAAATTTCATCATCTCATCGAGTAAGTTTTGTTGGTTCTCGACTATTTTTGACCTTGTGATAGCCTTTTTAGTAAATCTTCCAAAATATAACTCTAGTTTATTTTGACAAAAGCTCTACAGAAATCTTCATCCATTACCATTAGCATTCTGCGTTCATTTTATCCATACTTTCTAGAATCATGTACTAGTAGTGTTCATCATTAGTCAGAAAGGGCAAGTGGCATTCTGAGTTCACACGCAAAACTAGAATCCGCTCTTACACTACAGAAACATCATAAATTCATCTGCCAATCCAAAAGAAAAAAAAAAAAATCAACCTCAAAATCCGTTGTAAGCCAGACATGAGCATTCCAAAAAGAGACTTCTCGGAAAAAATTTGCCTGAAAACCGATGCGGTTGGCTTCTCATCTCTTTCGTTTGGCACCAGAGCCTCTTCCTGTAGCTTTCTTCTCAGCAGACGCATCAGCTGCTTTGCCTCTGCCTCTGCCTTTACCAGCCGCCTTTCTTGAACCTGAGCTTCCAGCTCCTTTCAAATCCAATTCCACTTGGATCCCTGCAACCCGATTATAGTTCGTTAAGACATGCTGATAATGATCAGTAAAATCCCCCTCCAAAGAGGGATAAGGAGTATAGATTTTGGCAAGTCGTCGTCCTTCGGAGCCAATATATATCAGTTTTGGTTCTAGACTAACTGGCTTTCTGAAGGAAAAGACAAGTTATCAAAAGCGGTGCCAAGACCAACCTCTAGCATTCAGATTTTTAAGATTTGACTCCAGCTTTTGTCCATCGGTTGCTTCTTCTGGAATATCAAAAACAATACAGAGAAACCAAGTCAGGATTTCATCTGGTCTATATCCAAGTCGCATTCGATATCGAAGGTAATCTTGTAATGTCTTTCTGAGGCTCAGTCTTTGATTATACAGGTCCAGTTAACTGAATCTACAATAATAGTTCACAAAGATGTATAGTACCTGAGTCTTCTTCAGCGTCTGATCCATTTTCTTCTTCATTATCTGCTAACGGCTCGCCATCTTCATCTCTCAAACTATCAACAGTTGGTTCCAGCATTGCAGCTATTCGCTTCTTTGGCGCCTTTTTCACTCCCGGAAGCTGCACCATGTCCGCCACGCGTACCATTCTGGTTTTATTCATCTCATTATATTTTTTGGTCAAAGCTGCTTTAACTGGAGGTGGAACACCCTCCAACGGATTTTCACGTCCCTGATTTGTAAAGTTTGCAATACATAAGAGAAGATTCATTGTCGTAGCTGTGGCAGTGATATCCCATGAAAAAGGAAATATACCTTAAATTTTCCCAACTCCATAATAGTATCAAAGTCCTCCTGGCTTATAGAGTAGGAGTTCATGAAATCAACAACTTCTGAAACTGCTTCATCCTGAGTAAATATTTTCACACATATATATATATATATATATATATATATATATATATATATATATGATCAAGTAGCAGATAACATAAAATATCTAATCATATTAATCTTATCCTTGATATTATAAACACATATTGATAAGTCAAACCTTAGGCAGTGTCTGAAGTGGGCTAGTCAAGCGGCTCAAGAGAAGGGAAAGATAATCAACACGAAGTGTCTCCCTGTGGTTAATGTTGACGTTTGTCAAAAAGTTGAAATAAGAAAATATATCACATAATATTGTTAAGAAGAAAGGCAGTATATACACAAAGTTGACACTTCACAGACGGATGAAATATGAAGAAAGGAATGTTAGCAGCTAAAAGACACAGTGTAAAGACTATCAGAGTAGTAAATCGCAGAGAAAAGGAAAAATTTCACTAGCAGAAAGAAGTAACTCATAAAGCTAACTGTACAGGTGGAAAGAACAACCTTCCAGCGCTGGATTCACGGGAAGCAAGGACATGAACATGCAGATCCTCCATTAACCGTCTATTTTTTCCCGCAGTAGAATTCTTGCCAAGCCACCCACCAAATCTATTGAAATTACGCTCTCCCTGCATTCAGTAATCATGCATGGTTAATCTGAACCAGGATATTTTAGGCAGCTCCAGAGCAACAAAACGGAGGGCTCATACCATAACCATATATATACGCCATCGTAATCATGCTCAAATATACAAAACCCTATTTGTCAATATATGAGTTGTGCCTTGCAGACTCAAAATCTTAAATGCAGAAAAATGAAACATGTGGAATACGGTCACACATCATCAGAAAAAAGAGGCACATTGAATGATAGCAAAAGTTTCCAGGTTACATCCATATTGTGTAATGCGCTTTACCGAAAGACCGTTACCTGCTCGAGTACCTCCCTTGATCCATGCAACAATGAAGCTCTGTTCAAACAAAACAAGTACGCGTCGGTTCTCAAGTATTAGAAAATAGAAAGCACATCATTTCTATCTTGAGATTCTAAACCGGAGAACAGAAATCCATTGCAAAGCCAAAACAACACATATGAACGAACATGGCAGCATATAATTTATTAAACTCGATCTCCATCAAAGAAGAACTTTAAGTATTGAAAAGTAGAAACAAATTTAAAACATTAGAGGATATACATGGCATATTCATCGGCAACACAAACTTCATGTAGAGATAATAAAATAGCACTTTTGGTAAAGAAGGATCCATTTTATTCTCAAGAACTGGAGGCAACTTACGGGAGAATAGAAGATGCAACACAGCAAGATTGAGAGAGTTGCCATTGTCTGTATCTTCGAATCTGCACGTTGATAATATCACCATCCGCAATAGATTCAGCAGCAAGAGCAAGTAAATCCATTCGTTTTGCCTCATCTTTACCGCTTGGCCTATAATTGAGATAGTTTTCCTGCCCAGATGGAAAGAAAATAAATAGTCTTTAAATTATATCCGCAAATGAGGTAGAAATTTCAATGTTCTATACATTCTCATGTGGGAATACAAGCTTTAGAAATCACTACTGTCAGAGGTAGCAGGAAACTATTTTCCGTTCCAAGAGATTTGGCTCAACAACCCCACAAGAATGCAAAAAATATAGACCTGTATAAGTAGGGGAACCAAATCAGGATCACTCATGCTTAGGTCAATCCGTTCATCCATTCTCAGCTTCCCACCATTATAACCAAACAACCTGGAAGGAAATCATTTACAATTAAACTATGATGAAATGTCCAGAGTGCTTAGAAACAAACATTTTACTACAAAACCAGGGAAAGAAATTTCTTATATAACAGCAGATGACTTAACCTCAAAAAATTTGGCAATGCCAGACACTTATAGAGCATTTATTATACACTACTATGTGCATTGATGAACTAAACTAAAGGACTCGAGACATTACTTGTCAACAGCTGTGAAAGGGGATATATCTTCATCCTTCGCACTGCTTAGCAGGCGCTGCCTGATATCATCGTACTTGATGGCTGACATGGACAGGCTCATATATTGGAGCTGATTAAGGGCCAATCGTATGTCACCATTCACTCTCTCAGCGAGTTCTTCCAGAGCAATCTGACAAAAAGAAAAGATATATGATGTTCAGGGGGCAAATGGTAGCACGTAATGCCCACCACCAAAATCTTATGACGAGTGGACACAGACAATAAAGGATTTAAGTTCTATTCAGGTGTTTGATCCATTACAACTGGCATACGCTTACCCAAGCAATTAAATGCCACAAAATAGAATCAAAGAGATCAAGAAACGCAAAAGTAGGCTTTAAAAAAAAAGAGCGTTGCATGACACATATACTTCACACCAAATCTAATACTTCCATTCTCATTTTTCTAATTAGTAAAAGCGGCCTGACATGCACCAGATTTTTCGCAAAGACAATAGTCCCAAGCAGATGTAAGTTATATGGAACTGGCTAGCATTGACTAACAGAAGCTAGTGAAAGTAAAAAAAAAACTAAGTACATAATCTTACTTCATTAATTTCAAGGCCTTCTGCCTTAGCAATATGCATCAGCCTTTTTGCCATCTGCAATAAAAGACAAGTTGGTTTCATAAGAGAACATACATTTCTAATGATAAAACAGAGGATACACGGCCATTCAGATCCTCAATGCAACTGAAACGTATTAGTTTTTTTTTGTTTCTAATGAATATAGGAGCCTTTAGCAAAAGGTCAACTATTAAGCAGGTGTGGAACTTGAGATATTTACACTATATCCGTCAATAAACAAGGAACTTCTTGTCAACTTCTAGAAAAAGTATCTGATGGTGAAAAAATCATAAAAGACAATGAAGAGCTCAAGGACTAATAATGGTACATTGCATGAAATCCTGTGCATAAACCTATCAGAAGAAAACGCAGAGAGGACATAAACAATCATCTAAATCCAACCTGCTGTTTCGTGGGCTTCCGGTAATTGAGGGGAAGACAGTAGTTAACTAAACTCTTCAATTTCTGACTGTATCGGTCATTACAAATGCAGATGATAGGAATCTTTGATATTTTAATGCTAGCAATAAGATCTGCAACACCTCCCCTGTCGCCTGCAGACATTCCATCTACTTCATCCATGATTAGAACAGTCTTTGGGTGCTTTGACCTGAAGATCAAATTTTCCACCAAGTCAGGAGAAAAAAACAAGCATCTAGAACCAGTTATCAACATTGGGGGATATAAGACAAACACCAACATACCTATCCAAGTTGGCAGCCATGGCTTCGTTGTTGACAAGTTCTTTTACAGTATTTGCATTGCTGCCACCAATTCCTTTGGCGATATTCGAGTTCGCCTTTCCACGACTGTCACTAGCATTAACCTAAATAGAAAGTAAATTGCATTCGTTTTCAAGCATGTGCAAGAAATTATATCACTAACCAATGAAATTTAAATAAATATGAGCTAACCTCAACTGCCTGGAAACCAAGCATCTGACTAACCAACTTTGCTGATGTTGTTTTTCCAATACCAGGTGTTCCGCTCAAAAGTACAGCCTTCTTGGCACCAGCATCATTCAATTTCTTCCCCTTTCCTTTACTTCCAGTACCTCCAAATTGATCATGCCAGTGGGACAGCCAGTTGTGAAGCTGAGTAACCTGCAATCGAATTGATAAAGGATCCATCGTTTTCATTTTCGTTGAACAAAAAGCAACATACAGTAGTTTCGATCACATACCAATGACTGATTCCCAACAATCTCATTTGGAACCTTCGGTCTGTATTTTTCTGTCCATGGCAAGGAAGTCTCAATAATTTTCTTTTTTCCTTTCGCCGGGGGAACCTTGTTGGGCGAACTTTTTGCTAAAGGTTTTCCTAAAAAATGATTGTGATCACTATTAACTGTAAGGATAACTGAGAAGAAATGGACACTGAGTAAATGGCTCAAGCGTTATTGAAGCCAGAGGAGCAATGTCTGGAAACAGATTAATAAATTGAAGACACAAATATCCAAAGTGCATGGTATACAAGAGTACAGTTCATACCTCTTGTCTCTTCTTTCTGAGGACTTGTCTTCGGCGGTGCACAGATTTTTTCAGTGCCTTTGTTTGTCCTTTCAGGTAGAGACTTTTTTACAGGTTTAGAGGACCGGATCATGTCAAATAGGCCATCCTCTGTAAGAAACTTAGTGCTGAACAGAATATTATAAGTTAGGATGCTAGAAGACCAAAAACACCTCAAAAGTTTACTGTAATGATATGCAATCAATGAGCACACACCCCAGTTCTTTAGCTTTTTCAGATTTCCTTCCGCCGATGTCTTCATCACACAAAAGGTAAGTCTGAAAACAATAATTGTAACTTTATGCTATTACCTTTAACTTAAAAAAAGAAAAAAAAAAGTTGAAGAAAGACCGTTTTCTTGCTAACAGAGCCTGTAATACGACCACCATGCCGCTTAATCAGATCTTCTGCTTCTTCTCTTTCTAAACTGCAATGTCAAGAGGGTACAAGAAACTGTAACACGAAATAAAAACGTTGGAAAAGGCAAGAAGTATGAGAAAATGAAATACCTATCAAGTGTTCCACTAATTACAAATGTCAATCCAGCTAAGCAATCAGGGGTGCCTTCAGGAACTTCCTGAAAAACAGAGACAGGTCAGTAAATACATTAAGAGCCCACGTAATAGTCAAAATAAGAGAAGACTTTCGATCAAGTAAAATACAGACCTTTTCTCCTTTATGCGGTGGGTCTTTCCTTTCACCAAAATTCATAAACCCACCTCGCCCTCCACCCCTACCTCTTCCACCAGTTGAGGCCCCTGGAGCAGCTCTACCGCCACGGCCTCTTCCGGCAGCTTTTAGAGGAGTCTCCTTATCTTGAGCATCTTCACCATCATCATCCTCGTCATTATCAACAGTTTTACTTGCGATTCCTCTACCTGACCCAGACTTTAGTTTTTTGCTGGGAGTGCTATCACGAGTCTTCCTTGAAATAGGTACATCAAAATCATCATCATCATCATCATCAACCACCTTGGTAACCTTTCTTGGACGAGGCTTGGCTAAATCATCAGAGTCAGTCTTAAGTTTCCTCTTGGCAGGAATTTCTTCCACCTCTTTCTCATCTTTAACTTTTGTTTTATCTTTACCAAAAAACTTGCTCGTTTTTCTTCTAGCAGCAGTTTCCAGGTCTTCACTAGCCTGTCAATCAGTTCCAAGTGATTAACACAAACAACACGATTTCCACTAAAAAAACCAAATATATATATGATTGTAACAGCAACTAGCATATATGTGTTGCCTATGAGTGGCTCTGAAAACAAAGCAAAGACAAAAGAATCAAACAATATGTGTTTCAAGTTTTCATGCAACCTCACATAATGCAATTTTACAATGTCACAAAGAAAGAGCCACTAACTTCCCTCCTGCTAGCAATACCTAATCCAGTGTTCTACTAAGATACACCACATACTAAACATATAGAGCAGAAACCTCACCTGCTCTGATTTTAGTGGTGCAGTCTCTGCAGCATTCCTCGCAGGACCTGCCTTGGAAGACGTCGATTTCGGAGCACTTGCATTCCCTTTTTCATGAGCTTTCATAAACCACTTCCTAATATCCGACTGCAATTCAAGTACAGTAGATGCTATCTTTATCAGCACAAATTTACTTCATACCTCTAATAAACCCTCTCTATCTCTCTCTCAAGGAGAAAATAACATTGTGGAGAATCAAACAAAAGTAATGGATGGAAGGAAGAAAACGCAGATATCAACTCACCATTTGCCCGTCTCGAGAATTCGACTACAAACCAAAGAGCACACAATGCTGCAGCAAACCAGAAATTAGAATTTGGAATAAACGAAGAATCTTGATCGGATTAAGTGGAAGCATGCATAAACCCTAGTAACAGTCGGGATCAACGGAATCCAGTAATATATTTATTTACTCGAGGCAGAGACTTCTAAATTTAGGGTTATGTCAATTTTACAAAATCGAAAAGACGAGGAAACGAAACCGAACCCTTTGTTCTCCTCCGGGGAATTTTCCGGCTACAAGCGAGAATTAGGCGACGAAGAAGAAGAAGAAACGGTCGCTGTGTCTACTAAAGGCACACCTCTCTAATGGTGTTAAAGAGAAAGTTTTCTGGAGAAGCTTTTATTAATTGAATCCCTCATTTTCTCGAAAGCTTATGATAAAGTCTTAAAAGTTTAGAAAATTAATATTTAACCCTAAAATTATCTGCCTAAGGCTAAGGCCAACTATAGGAGCTTGGCGGGCCTTCGACCGGTAGAATTGCGACCTAAATACCGGTCAGAACCGATTTAACTTAACCGGTGCGAGCAAATCGAACCGGTCACTCCAAGAACCTTCACGCTTTTGTCTTTTTACCAGAAGGTTTGGAAATCGGTTTTCTGAAAACGTCATAAATTAACGGATTAGCTGAAAAAATCAGATGAGTTGGAAAATTGATTTTGCTAGTTCATGTTGTATAAAAATGACCAACAGTACGGAAAGAATGAGTTTTGATTGCAAAAATTAATGTCGCCTACCGATGTTAACCGGAAAAAACTTCGGTTCGGATTGAGCTTTGGACATTTTAGTTTATTGGTTTGTAATAACTTTGTGACTTATTGATGATGCTGCCGCTAACATTTGTTTCTCACATAGTTTCTCTGTGCTAAGTGTCTTTGATTTAATACACACCTAAATGTTTTCCGAATTTGCTAAATCTAAAAACCAGTGATGTGGTTTACGTATAGGTCAAGCAATCAGAGGTCATAGACAGCAACAAAGTTCATCAACACACTTCCCAGCCAAAGCTTCCCATCTTTTTCTTCCACTTCACTTACTGATCTCACAACTTTGCCTTCACTATCTTCAAGAACCTGCATAAGCTTCCCTTCAGGACTATACTTAACCACCAATCCGTGCGGCCGTAACCCGATCTGGAACGAGTAGTGTGTTCTTGCAGTGATTGGCAGTCTCAGTATGAACATCCTCAGCTTAGGATATCTTGCCATTAAGTATGAGTAGTAGTTGCGTCTGCAATGAAGCGCCACCCAAAATTCACCGTTTTCGTTCGTTCTTACATTATCAGGATGCCCTGGTAAAAACGCAAACACATCTGTCGTTCCAGCTTTTTCGCCTTTTAACCAGTATCTTCGTAGGCTGCATTTAAACCAAAAGATGATTCTTTAGGCTGTAATGGATCGAGATATAGTCTTTATCGGTACTAACCCTTCAATAATACAGAGAAATGAATCCTGTGATGCATAAACACAAACAGATGTTTTCAATTCTCATATAACAATCATCTATAAGGGATTAACCTAGTACTTGTTATACTAGTGAGGCAACTGATTCAAGGTCTATTTACAGTTAAAGATAAGCCCATCACCAGACATTGATCACAATATCAAGATTAGATTGAATACTACTCACCTTCCAATATCGCCTTCGCAGAATACAAAGAAAGAACCGTCTTTGCTGATAGACACACCATTCGGAAACTGAAGATTTGAGACTAAAACAACAGCTTTCTTAGCTATTGGATCATACTTCAGCACTCTCCCAGTATTGTCTCCAGAGAAGACGAGCTGCAAGAAGTTCCTGAAAGAGAATCACAGTTCCAAAATCAGAACTTGTAGAGATAGACATGATAATGAACCACACAATTCACTCAAAACAAAATCATGTCACATTCACAATCAGACCTCCTCTGGTAATTGATACTGCTATCTGTAAAATAAACAGTTCCATCATCATCAATGTCAAGATCATTAGTAAAACCCAATGGCACACCCTCAGCTTCAGTTACAAGCGGCATTGCTAAGCCACCTTCAGGACCAACTTTCAAAAGTCCCATATACGCGTCGGCAATATACAAATCTCCGGTTCTCTTATCGAAACGAAGACCTAGAGGACGACCACATATATGCTCATTCCTCAAGTAACTCAAAGCAGAAGGCTTCGGATCACAAATCTCCGATCGATTACTCGAAGTGTAAGCAAAATCAATCCATTTCTGACCATTCCAAAACAAAACCCTACCATCAGCAACGCCGGTGTACGGACCACGTCCGAGAGAATCAAACGCGACGCTCTCTGGACCTTGGACTTGGTTTAGAAACAGAATCTTTGATTTCTGAAGTGAATTCTGCGAATCTCTCTCCCATGGAACTTCATCGGGACGTGGAGAGACGACTTCGTGAGAGACGAAATTGGGGAAATCGGAGATGGCGCAGTGGTGAAAAGGATCGATGCTGCAGTAGAGTGCGAGGGAGAGGGAGAAAAAGAGAAGAGTGATGGCTTTAGGAGATAAGAACAAAGCCATGATTGAGTCGTTGTTGAGGTAGAGAGAAAATCAGGGTTTAAAAGGGGAAGAAGAAGGGTAGGTAGATCCATTGGTGGTTGAGCAATGCCAAGAGAGCTCTCACTAGTCACTTCCATCCATCTTCACCGTCTAGTGGTAGCTACTAGCTACGGAGCTTTAATTATGTTATTTGAAAAATTAGAAAATAGACTGTAATTATATATAGGTAACTTACCAATGTTTCCACGTAAATTCGGATAATGACACAACTTCAACACTATGGTTCTGATTGGAAACGTGCGGGACAAAATTACTCCGGGATGGTGCAAATTTTGGATACAGGATGCACAAAACAGTCCTAGTTAGACTCAATTTTGGTTAGTTACTCTGCTTCTTAATCTGGAAAATCCAAATGCAATGCCTATTAAAGAAGTGAAGAGTAAGACGAGCAATTTTGGAAAGAAGAGAAATGAGTTAAAAAGGTAGATGGTTCTTTAATCTTATTTGGTCTGAGAGCCAAAACTGACACACGAACACAACAATTTAGAACCATATCCCACAAAAGGGCTTTCTCTATTCTTCTACTCTAATTTGAATATGGTTAATAAAATAATCAGATAACCAATTTTGTAAAAATAAAATGAATTCCCCGCAACATTGTCCTCTCTTCTCGGTCTTTTGCTCTTCTTCCCTACTCTCTCCTGTAAATTAGCCTCACCAAACAGCTGCTTTGATCTTGATCTTGTAGCGTTTTTAAATAAGCCTACCCCTTACACTGGCAAAAATGCAAATACTTCTTTCTTGTCTTTTCAGCTTCAGGTTCTTTAGTCTACAAGGCGTTTGTAGAACAGAACGTAAGCAGCCGAGGTCTTGATCTTTTCTTGGCTGATTGGGTGGACATGGCTATCATCAAAGTCATACCATCGATCACCTCCATGCTGTAAATGAAGAAGTAAATGAATTCAACTAGCATCCTTATGAGGTCAACAACTATAACTCTATGAAACTGGATACATACCAGCCGCCTTAACAATAATATATCCTGGTTAGAGACATCCTGATCATGGGTAATTCAACTTCTTACAGTTTTATAATATCCTACTCTACAATGGTTCCACAGGTTTGCAACACAAACACTTAAAATAGATGAACTGTTGAGACAAGAAATATAAGAGGATGATTAAAAATGTCTTTTCACTTACGTGAACATATGCAGTGTAATGACCCCCTCCCATGCTCCCATAGTGATTGCTGATCGCATAGAGCATGTAGCGATATGTTGTCTGACCATTCTTGTAAGAGATGTAGCTTGATAGATCAAGATCATCTAGCGGGAAGTCCACATAGGCCTCCAGCTTGTTCTTCATAAACCGGCTATACGAAAACCTCTTCAGATGAATAACCAGGATCTCTGGCAACCTCCAGAGATCTAACTTTTTGATAGCTTGCCGGTGCTCTTTGCAGCCAGGACAATACCTAAAACAATTTTGACTCATGTCAGCTACTAACAATCAGAGTATCCAAAGAATTAGTAAAGAGCAAGTCAGCCACACAAATAGATTGACATAATTCGAGATAAATCCAAAGATGATGACGAGTGAGGAAAAATTTCAAGACAACGAAACGTATCATATTACTAATTCTAAAAGGAACACTAAATCTAAGTCGATTTTCAACTGCACTATGAGCACGATTGTCAAAGGATAAATTTTCATGTGTCATAAAGCTGAGAATAGATATGAGAAATGGTTTTGAACCTCAACTCACCACATGTCATCAGGACCAAGAGGCTCTTCCGTCAAGAATGCTTCAAGGCACTTGAAAAGCGAAACGGATTCTTGAGGTCTCTTAGTTCCAAATTTGGAAACCTCAGGTAAGGAGCTCATAAGACAAGTATCATAAACGTCAAGATCTTTTACTGGCCAACGTGCTAGCACATTCACCCGCTTGGATTTATTTACAGGCTTCTCTTTCAATATTTCAGATTCTATTGAGTTTCCTCTGTCGTCAGTTAGGTAAAGCCTCAACACAGGATCTGGAAGAGATTCAGTAGTCTCCTTTACATCAGTGGAATTTATATCCTCAACTGAAGTAGTACCATCGGTATCTGCTTTATCAGTGGCTTCTTCTTCAGTTCGATTTTCAAGATTCTCTGTGAAGAATTCAGTAGGCATCTTAAATGAACTAAGCAGTTTCAGGTACAGGTTCTCGAGATCAGATCCATTCTCAACATCACAAAGCCTCGAGACCAAAGGGATTCCAAATGCCTTCCAAGTTGGACTAGATTTCCCAGATATAAACTGCCTGAAAACCATTGGAACGGTTAAATATTTGGTACCCATCAGTTATAAATTTCATGCATGACACTAGTGAACAGTGGTTAAACTGCACTAACATTTATTAACTGAACAAGAGCATGATCGAGATAACATTATAAAAAGAAAAGAGCTATAGGTATTGATTATCGAGGTAAGTGCATGTAATGATCTTTAAATTCATGGTGTTGCCAACATAAGCAAACAGATAATGTCCAAAACCACCTGACAAAGAAAACGGGGCTAGGGGCAATTTCCATTGATAAGAACCTTAGTTAGCATTTAAGTACTATGCAAACTTACTCTTCCAGCTTCTGATGCATATACACAATCAAAGGAGAATTGTTTGCATCTTTCTTTAACCGATACACGACAAGTTTGTCACCATCTCTGATCAAGGTTAATGAATCAGTAGGCTCCTCCAGGAAGCGAATAATCCGATTGTTATATACCTATACAAGTGAAGACCAAATAAAAGAAATTCCATTGTATGTGTTAATAAAAGCTCCACCTATGCACCAGAATGAGATCCATAGAAACAAATATAGAAATATACCTCCGTAACCAGTAAAGTTTCCTCCTCTGGTAACGAGCATGCAGTGACAAGAGCCTTATGAAGATCTTCAAATTTTCCAAACTTAGGAACATTGACAGTCAATGGAATAGGCAAACTACTCCCATCTGCACTCATGACTGTTAAATCCATTGTTCGCATTGATGTGCATGGCAAAGGTAGCGATAGGTACATGAATGGATCAAACATAACAGAAACTTTTTTGCAAATAGGGCAAACTAATGTTGACTTGTATTGGCCCTGCAACCAGATATACATATAAATGTCTTAGTGGTCGACAATGTTAGGATCATTTCTTAACAAATGCACTGAACCACAGAAGATGAGATACCCAGGATGTTAAAAGTTCATGACAAAGTCAGATGGTTAAACTGCAACGAGCATCATATCAAACGAAAAGCAATTCTATAATAACTTGACATAGTTATTGACAGGGCACAATATCTTCCTTAAAACAAAGAAAATATTGTGTGCACAGAACTCAAATCAAGAAGATAAAATTGCACTGACAAATCTGATGGAGGAAGTTTCAAACATATGCAGCTTAGATCAAAATGATACGTAATTGGATACCAGAATGCTATACAGCTTGAGCCATCCGACATTTTTCAAGTAAAGGTCAAACTAAAGTTTCCTAATGTGCAAACCCGATCCTTAGAGTGGTTGTCAGCAGAGGTAAATAAACAATTTAGGAACCTGAAGATATTTACTTGGCACAAATCAACAATTATTGAATCATTGCGAGCAACATGATTTCGCCAATATTCATCAGCCACTTCCGCGTCAGGACGGCCATCTCCATCTTTTGCTTCCACGTAAGGCTTGTTCCTTACACGGTTTAAGTCCTCGTGGAGTCCATCCAGCAAGAAAGCTAGAAGTTCCTGCAACCAAATAAAAAAACCTCAAAAACATGAATGGGATGTCCCAATATGCGGCCTTTAATGCTGAGAGACAGAAAGAAAACATCAGGAAGGCTCACTTAATTAAGATTCTATAAACGGAAGTGTTTTCTCTGACCTGCGAATCATGCTGATTAAAGCCACTAAACTGAGGAGCAAAGCGAGCAAGTTTTGCTTTAAATGTCCTTGGGGCCACTGTTGATGAACCTGGAGCCCACAGACTCCTTAATAAGTCACCAAAAGCTAGGGCGATCTCACCCTGCCACAAGAAATTTGATCGGTAAGGCTAATCAAGAAGCAAGAGAATATATTAATTAGCCACGGCGGATAAAATGTATATATACAGAAAGCCATAGATTGGCATACTTTCATTCCCAATGGGTTGTCAAGATTTATTTCTTTACTGTACTCTCCAAGAAAGAAGTCGACAAGCTTTGGTGTGTGAGCCAAGCACTGAAGGGAACTGTTCATGAAACAAGTGTTTCCTAGATTCTGCAAGCCTGTCAACCCCAAAGTTCCAGCTTCTCCAGCTTTTACCAAAAAGCTCAAAGAATTACTCCGTCCAAATCTGAACACTGTGCCACCATTTATGCCATTGGTAATCCCATTAGTTTGCTGTGTGGAACCATCTTCCTTTTTCGATTCCTTCAATTTGATGGAGTCTGATAATCCATAAATCTGCAGCTCTAGGAGCATCTGTTGGACCAAAAGTAATGCTATATAAGAAATACGGCATCAAAGAAATTAGGGGAAAAAAAATGGAAAACGGAAGGCAAGTCTGAAATAAGGTGAAGGCAGTTTTAATTGTCACATATTATGATGCAATATTTGCATTCACTCAAAAAGCATCACACTTACTTCCTGATCTGCTTGTTGTTGACAGTCCTTGGAATTGCTCACATCACTTTCGAAAAACAAGGTTGTTTGGCCAGAAATATCCCAAATGCGCAACTACAGAATCAAAAGCGCCCGTATAATTTGTAATTGCATGAATAAATATCAGAAATACTGCATCTACCATATAGTATGTATAAACTGACAAGCATATCGTGTACATAGTAGGTAAAAGATCATGCATGGAACACTTTACCTGCTCAGAATCCAAACTGAATATCTTGCATGCTCTTCTGAAACATTCAACTGAATTGTCCTGCATGAGGGAAAAGATAAGATTTGGAACCAGAAAAACAACAACTGAGAAGCTAAGCAAAATTTTGCAGATAGGAAGAACAAGAAACTAAGTTGTTTCTAATATAGTTCAAAGTATCAATCTTCATTGGAAGATGAAGTTTTTAAAACGATGGTGTTGAATCAATGAAACATATAGAATAACTTGGCCTACTGTAAAACAAAAAGTTTCAGGATGGATAGCAACACTCTAGCAAGAAATTCTAGTATTCATAATAGTTTCTCATTTCAACTATTTCCTTCTCAAGTTTCGTGTGGACAAGGGTGGCACAACGACAGACCTATATTTATGTAATGTCTTGTCTGGTAGAGAATTTTTGCTATGAACTAATAGTTCCAAGGAAACCAGGTCCCAGTGAAAAGAATCCAGTTTAGGTTTTTAATCATATTATAAAAGGAAATTCGACCACTCCACTTCTATAGCAGCAAGAAAATGTGGCACCAGCAAGACACTTGATCAGGCAAATAAAAAAGGCTGTAAGTTTGAAGATACCTTTTTGCAAATTTTAACCGCCAATGAATTGGTTTCCTGCAAAACGGAGAGCCTGAGTTGTACTGGATAAACGTCGCCTCTGTCAACTCCTCCAGCCGTGAAACTTTTAACACCTCTCTCAGTATTTTTATCATCATGATGCCTGGGAATAGATATTAGGGAAATCAGCCTCGCTTTTTAGAAGGTACAGTATATACAAAGGGTACCAACTTTATTGCAAGAATATAATAGGTACCATGATTAGAAATCCTGCATAAGTTTTATCAAGTTTATAAGTTTCTCCTACCATAATTAAACTTTATACTTATTCTCTCCACATCATAATACAAACTTCTAATATAGGATTTAAACAGGCAACGTCCAAAATATAAGCAAATTCTATTTAGTGTCACCAATGTGACCCCAAAGGTTCCTAATCTTATCTACCTCAGCCTCTTCTTCAAAAACTCGATCTCCAAAGAATGAAAAGATACAGATAATAAGAAAAATTCCATAGAAGAATCAGTTTGATTGGATACTGAGATAGATCAAATTTCCAGTTCAATCGGATGTAACACTAAAATGACAAGGATAGTGACAGATTTACTCAAGTCATTCTAGAAGGAACCATCAGATATATAAAGAGAAAACAACACTAACCATTTAAGTGCCTGCAGCCACATTTCACTTGAGACCAAAGCAAAGTCCCTGCCTGAGACGCTTGCTTCTCCCGTTTCACCAGTCTGTAACGCATCTCCTTCTCTCCTCAGATCGAACAAAATATCGGAGTTAAAGATGTTATTTATCAACTTCATAGGGCCTCCATAAGACGACCCAGTTGTAGCTGTATACAAGATCTCTCTTTTATCAACTGATTCAGAAGGCATTGAATCTTGGGCATCTTTCCACCACCTGAAATTCCAAATTCAAATATCGCATTGCTTAACTGACTGACTTCCAAATACCATTGGAGAGTACTTATATAAATCTGCAGATTCAATTTGATTGACTCCCATAATCCCATTCTAGTCTACTGTCAGCTCAAGCTCAAGCTCAAGCTGCTCAACTATCAATCAGTATCAGGGGATGCACCTTAGAGCTAAAGGGAAGGAAACTAAAAAAAAGGATCCTAGCGATTGTGCACGAAACAAATCAGGACAATCCATATCTATATCAATCAACACTAAAGCCTCTGACATGTGATTGTAAAACACTATATTCTTCACACTAGACAGTAAGAAAAGCAAATCTCGCCACATAAAATCACATAGTGAATCCAAATCACATTCATTTGATTCTTCAGCAATACATCGCTATAAAGCTCAAACAAGGATAACCATCCCCTATACATTCGAAAAGGATCCATAAGTTCCAGAATCCTCAGATCAATCAAATCTTTAAATCTTCAAATCCAACCCTTTCGAATCTTTTACTCGGATGCGACTCAGATTCGCCGAATATTCCAATCAAATGGAACATAGACGACATGAAATTAAAACGATACGACGGAGATAGAAGAAGAGAGACGGTGAGGAGAGGAGATACCTCAAGGGGACGAAGTAGACTCTCTGCTCGCCGTTGAACGAATCGATCCGCTGAGTTGAATCGGAAGATTCCTCGGACGATGTCCCGTTCATTGTTCCTCCGCACAGGTTTGCCAAAGAGCAAGATTCGCAGAGAGACAGAGAAGAGGAATGATATTTTTCAGACCATCAGCATCTTACAACGCAGGGCACAAAAAAAAAAAAAAAAAAGCAAAAGAGAGAGAGAGATTACGCCAAGAAATTTTTTTTTTTTTTTTTCGGAAGTATTGTCCCTTGTGAAGATGATATTGGGAAAGGAGGGAAATTTATATGATTATATTTTTATTTCACAAAATTCTATTTGACATTATTTTTCTCTATTGACAACGAATTTCATTTTATATCATTTTATACGAGTTTCTCTATTGACAACGAATTTATGTTTTTACGTATTTCATATCTATATCTACTAAATCAACAGTCATTTTTTAAATAACTGCAGCTTTCTCTATCTGCCACGTGTCAAAGTTTCAAATTCTCTTCTTTTACTTTTCTACGCCATTTTACTTATTTATTTGATAAAAATATATTCCCACAATTTTCTCTTTTTTTTTTCTCTTATCTAATTAAACTCACAACTAATCAAAAATATAAAAATCTTTTTCAATTTTTTCTCCCACGTTCCATTTACTCATTTACTAGATCATGACCCGCACGTACGTGCGGGGTTTTATATTATTTAAAAAGTTCTAACAAATTTTAATTCAATATAAATTATTTCGTTGTTTTTATGATATATATTTTAGTGTATTAGATTTGGATTCACACGTACGTGTAGAGATATTTTTTTAGAAATTGTTATATAGATTTTAAAAATATAAAATATTTTGTTGTATTAGTGAACTTTATAATAGTACAAATAATATAAAATTAGAGCAATAAACGAAATTCAGTTGCGTTAGTGCATAATTATATTTTAAGATCCGGACCTACACGTACGTACGAAATTATATTTAAGATAAAACTAAGATATAATTTAGTTGCAAAAGTTAAATGATGTTACTTTTTTTATTTTCTAAACTAATCAAAACATTTCTAATAGTTTGATTATATGTGTTAAATAGGATATAGATTCGGTTTGAGTTTGGTTATTTCATGTATATTAGTTAGGCGTAATTATTTTAGAACGGGAAACATATTCCGTCATATATCTGTCATAAATTCTTGGTCCCATAACCCATCTTGTATACGTGAAATAAAAATATGACAGTCCAGTATCCGGCATAAATAGAATATGTGTAACTGAAAATGTACGTACAGGGTTATGTATGTAAACAAATTTATTTTATATAGTGCTTATAACCTGAACTCATACCAGTTGGGTATTTAGTTTGATTTTTAATTTATGTTCCCCTCTCATCCCGTCTCGTAATTCCTATTCTCATTTCATTCCATTAAAATCATGTTCCAAATTCTTATTTGCATACTTTTAAATACCATACAATACATACTGTGAGTTTTGTAGATTAATATATATGCTGCTAAAGTTACAAATATATTTTAACAAATTTATTAATGTTTTTTTCCTTAGCTAAATTTTGCATATTCTTCTTTTTATTGTTTAATCATAATTAATTTGATTTTTGGACTAAAAATAAAAATTTGAGATACATCTTTAAAAGGGATATGCTATTGCTGCATAATTTGAATTCAAAATATATAATTAGTTTACATTATTTGAAAACTGTGTGCAATATATTAGGGATTTATTTAAGGAAGATCCGGTTGAAAAGCAAAAAATAAAACGCAAAATAATTTAAAATTTAATATATACAATAGATTGTTAGATATTTATCAAACTTGCTTTAAACGAAAGCTATAATGATAATTACTTTAAATTTATTATTATTTGAGTTTATTTCATCATAAATATAAAGAGTTGTTAATACCTAATATCGTATTTTAGAAATTGTGAAATAAAATTTTGTTTTATATTTTAAAATTTGTGAAAATATTATAACAAAATTGAATCTTAAAATATTTGTATTTAATTTTCTTACACAATTTTAAATTTAATTTTAAATTCCTCCATTGATAAATCTTTTAAATGATAGTGTTTTTAATTTTGAATTAAAATGATATTATTTTTCTTTTTATTTTTGATATAGAATAGTCTATTAAAATTTGTTTTATTTTTGAATTAAAGTCTTAGTTGGATATCAAATCTTAGTTTTTCAATTCCTATTGGTTAACAATTTTTTAAAAATTAATTTCAAATTTTCGTTTATAATTAATAAGAGAGAGAAAATTAGTTTATTTTTTTGGAAATTAATAATTATTTAAAAGAATTAAACTATTTTTTATTTAAATATTTTAATTTTGTGATTACTATTGTACCCTTAATGAGGTTATTTAAAAACACTAAAAACCAATGACATTTTTTGTAATTCTTTACCCTTTATAAGGTTATTTATTATCCAATGCTTCCCAATTAATAATATAGATTTGAGAAAACACTTTTTTTCCCCACAGTTTTCTCCTTTTTTTCCTCATAACTAATTAAATTTACTATTAATCAAAAGTAAAAAAAAAAGACCTTTTCATTTCTTCCTCCCACGTTCAATTTTTTTTATAACAATTAATAGATCTGATTTTGCTTAAACAATGATTGTGATTTTAATCAAACAATGATTTTTTTTAATCTATAAATCAAACAATGAAAATTTTGTTACTACTTAGAATTGATAATTTCATTTTTGTTTAGTCTCATTTTATTTTCATTAAATCTTTATGCCAATATAATATTACACATTACTATAATTAGTTTTTTTTTAAAAAATATCTAACATTTATATATTTAATTTATTCATCTTTATACTGTATATAAAAATGTAAATTAATTGTTAAAAATAAATTTTAATTATAATATTATCCCATGCATCGCATGGGCCTTAATACTAGTATATTTATATATCCTAAGGTTACCATCTATACTATTAATTGGGAATCATTAAATAATAAAAAACCTTTAAGTTGTAGATTATTACATAGAATGCCATTGATTTTTATAAATTTCAAGAAATAAAAAAAAAACAATTTTTAAATAATAGAAAATAAATCAATAAAATAATAACTACCCAATATTTTTGGAAATAGTTTAAAGATTCCATAATAAATCAAGTTATTTGCTGTCAAAAAATTATAAAAAATAAATCAAGTTATTAATTCGAAATTTTATAAATATAAACTTATTTATTTTGGTAATATATTATTAGATATTTCTAATAAATCTAATTTATTGTAACAAATTATCATTTAATTTAGATTTTAATACATTTCCTTAACAAAACTATGCTAATTAATTCTGATTAGTAGTATACATGAAAAAACGATTTTAGTATTTTATTTTCCAAATATGAAAAAATATTTAGTATATTTGTCATATATAATCTATACTAAATAGTTTCATCCTTTAAAATATAACCTATTCAACAAATAATTTTGGATTTTAGGTTCTAAATATCTAGATAATATTTTCAGTATAGATTAAATTATTTTACATTTGAATTAGAATTTAAATGATATAAATTTTGAAATATATTTTTTAGAAATGGGTAGTGTTCATTATTTTAAATATATATCATTAAAATTAATTTCAATTACATAAAAATATATATTTTAAAACATATTATAATAGTTACTATATCTCCAAATTATTTTATTTAGAGCCAAATAAATTAATATATCAAATCAAGTAAATTATTCTATTTCGTCTCAAATTGTTACAAGCTTATATTCTTCTAAATTCGATTATTTTATTTTTTCAAAAAATATTAAAATATAATTTAAAGACCAATGTTTAAATTTTCAAAGCAAATACTTCAAAATGAGAAAATATTCATTCACACCAATATTCTTATTTTTCTATTAAACTTGAATAGTTTCTTTTCTGGAAACAAACATTAATAGAATTTTGTTAACAGCTCATTACTTGTATTTGAACAATCATAATCACCATATTTGCATGCATAAGGATCATAGGAAATTTAAGTTTTTTTTAAAATTTTGGTCATCATATATTTAAAATATGCAATTAAGATTAGTATTTTTCGTCATCATCCACAAATAAAAATCTAATTTCATGTACAATCTATTTCCTATAAATATTATGCATACATCCACGTCGTTGATTATCTCACAATTAATCTAAGATTGGTTTATAAATAATATATAAAATAAATATTTGTTTACATCAATCTAACCTATATTATATTCTAATCTAATAAGATTTTTTTTTTCTAATTTACTCTTCAATTTCAAACTCCGAAATTTGACGTATGGTTCACAACATTAACTATTGTGTCATAAACAATATAAATTGCATTCTACGATTTTCTGCGTATATTATAATATATATACAACAATATATATCACCAAAACAACAAAATATTTTATATTTACAAAAAGTTTATTACAACACATTTTCTTAAAATTTCAAATCCCGCACATACGTGCGGGTCAGGATCTAGTAGATACTTATTAGAAGAAACTATACAAAAACATATTTACCCTGTTTTCTGAATAATTTTCATTATTGTTTCTTTGTCAAATTGGCTTATAAGTTATAAAACTAGTAATCCTGCATAATCTCGAAATTTTCTAATTTTTATTTGGAAAGTGCATAAGTACAGCAATTACTTTAAATGGTTCAACAATGAATAAATTCTAAAATGCTCTCGTCAGGATTAAAAAAAAAAAAAGGAACCCTGATTTCATTTGCAAATTCCGGATAGTCTGAAAAGCTTAATTTTTTTATCTATAAAGCCAAAAAAAGAGTGGGAGTGAATCCCCTAAAACACATTATGTTCAAGTAAATATCACATCAGTAGAACCGTGAGGCAGTGTCATAGACACTCCCACCAGGGTACTGACCCCTAGGCTCGAACCCGTGATCTCTATTTCCGCCCTGAAACCTAGCTCTCTCTCCGTATGCTTCAAACCGATCTGAGCCATATGATCTTGATGGTGCATCCGCCACAGCCGCTGGATCTTGAGCATTGCCAATGTAACCTTGGGGATGACCAGATGGCATTAGATTGGCCGGACCAACCGCGTTTGGATGGTACTGTTCCATCATCCCCATGGTTTGCTGCTTGTATTGTTGCTGCCTAGCTTGTGATTCTTTTCTCATGATCTCTTCTCTCTTACCTGTGTGTCGTGCTCTGAGTGTGGCTAACTGTTCTT